CGTGGGAAAAAAATATCAAAATTCAGAACAAATTAGGTGCCATTATAGACTTGTGAGTGACAGCAGTTGTGTCTGTTTTAAATAGTATCTGCAAAAATTAAGCAACGGTTTGCAATATTTTAAAAGGAGACGACATCTAGGGAAGAATTTCTTACGGGGGTCAGACGTACGGATAATCGGACGTCCCCGAAGAAAGCTCTAGAAGCCACCAATATTAGCCTTCGTAGTGGGACTGATAATAACATACTATAATACCTACAATCCTCTGGGGCCGCAAAGCCTACAAACTTCCGTCTCAGAAAACAGCATACTTGATAAATGTACACCTGATCATGAACTGAACCACGTAAAAAGGAGTTTTTTCATCTGTACTGGATAGCAAGTAGATGAGCTGGAACTTTCGTTTTCAGTGATTCGTTATCTGGATAGTTTCCCTCTTCATTTGATCATAGGCTTATTGAACCCCACGTGCAGACGTGTACACGTGTCAGTGTACACCTCGTGCCCGAGGGGGGGGGGGAATTCTTGGTGGGGGTGTGCCGCCCGGTTCTTCAAATCCTGACCCGATTTCAGACCAACAAAAATGTAATATTTCACACCCTATTTACAGACTAGACAGCTAAAATCCATACCCTTTTTCAGACCTGGCCTTTAGGCGAAATCATGTTATGATTACTAAGATTAGAGTGCAAACAGAAAAATTCTTCAAATCCATTTCGTATTCGCATATTTCCCTTTCTTTCTGACTCATTTGGAATTGAAACGATAAATACGTTCATACACTCCCGTAGTTCCCTCAAAAACCATACTCGATTCCAGTCGACCACAATGGGCAAAGCCCACCCGTTTTCAGACAAAACGGCGCAAAGACCCTTCCCAATGGGGCGGTACATACCTAAAAATTATAGCTTATATAAGAGAAAAACCCCCCAGGACTTCGAGTCTGTAACATGAAATTATTTTATTGTATAGTATGGCTAATCAGGCTAATCACATGCAGCTTTCTCTGTAAACGTAGGTTAATCATTTAAAATAAGAGCAAGTGACGGGTTCGTACAGCCCTCAGTAAGTAAACTGCAGCTGAAACTGGCTCAGTGACGGTGCTAACCAGCGATCAGGTGTCCCTTTTTGTTTTGAAGACGGGGGAAAGGGTTCTTTTTTTCCCCTTCCCGCGAAAAAAAAAAAGACTGATCGCAGGTTACGACAGTGCATGCCATCGTAATAAACAAGTTTCTTTAGTTTGATGCGCTAATTGAATAATTAAATTTATGTTATCTACCACGACACAAACGTGTGATAGAATTTATCTCCTGATTTATTTTAGTAAGTATTGAACATATTAGTTCTGATTCAATTATATTTGCTCACTCAGTTTTTGGATCGGAATTAATTTATCATCTTTATTGTTGCTTTTCACTGATAAGTTTGTAAAATAGCATGAGTCGTTGTCAACTTTTTAACAATAGATAAACCTGTAAGCGGAGAGCGGCCAGATTTTGTAGTTCATTACTATTTTTTTTCTGTACAGAAAGAGTGATGCAAAAAAAAAAAATAATAACAAAACAAGATGGCGGATCCACCATTGAGGCAGAATGGGTCGCTGATTGGAACATGACGTAGTTCTGACGTTTCATGACATCACTACATAACTGATAATGATGTGAAGTATATGAAATAATTCATTTTTGAACTGCGGTTGTAGATGAAAGTGAAGAATGATCATCGCAGTAAATTTTCCAATTTAAGCAAATTGCTTAAATTGGAAAATTTACTGCGATGATCATTCTTCTCTTTCATCTACAACCGCAGTTCAAAAATGAATTATTTCATACACTTCACATCATTTCACTCCTCACGGGAGATATGAACTCAATAAATCAGACCTCGCTCCCAATGTGTGGCTTCATGGCTCAGTTGGTAGAGCAACGCACCGGCAACGCGAAGGTCACGGGTTCGAATCCCGTTGAAGCCCTGATTTTTTTCAGGCTTCTTCTTCCCATTGCTTAAATTGGAAAATTTACTGCAATGATCATTCTTCACTTTCATAACTGATAATCTTAGACAGTAAATGGTTTGGACCCAGGAGTCATGTCATACAAATGTAATTAAGTTGAATATGATTGTGCCGGTGAGTGTTGCCCAGGCTAGAATAGGAATCTCGTTTGACTTGTTCATGACTTTCGACAACCTGTGCTTTATTCATCTTCAGAGTCGCAGTGAGATATGATGTATCTTGTCAGGATAATTGACCTGATTGGTTAATTCACCCTTGTTGTTATTGGCAAGTGAGTAGTGTATTTCCTGCCATCCCTTTTTTATCATGTGATAACGATACCTGGCCTCATGAAAGAAGTGCATCATAAAGATGGGTTGCAGCCGGCTGATTGAATTGCTTAATCATTTATAATGTGATAAAAAATTTTTGAGAAAGACTAATTGCAATTTTGCTATTTAAGAATACTGCCAATAAAAGTAAGACAAAAATAATTACATTTTAACTTGAGGAACATTTTAACTTAAACATTACTGATGTGACTGTAACCCGTATATTCTGGAATATATTTTGGAATTTCCTGACGCTACGGGATTTTTCGTTGTTATTAGGACCTTAAGTTTAAACAGGACTCTTACATCAACGAGACACATCAGTTCAGGGCGTTGCATCTTAGTATCATTCTCTATTCTCGTAATTTGATTTATTTATCTCCCTTAATCAGCAAACCAAGTAGCTAGTATGCTATAAGAATATTAGCTAATCATACAGGGAGACATGGGATAAGGCTTTACTTTAGCTTCAGACGGCTTATCCACTTTTGCCGATCGGTTGGTTTCAAATTTTGATAATTCTTTTCGTTGCTTCTTGTACTGTTTTAAAACCTGTCTCAGTAATAACGCACCGAGAAAATGGAAAGCTGGTTCTTGCCTTCGTCATGACAGTGATCTTTTTACTAGTTTTGTCATCATTGCTGCCTCGGTGAAAGTTAATCATACGTACGGCCAGTAACTGAACCGACTTTTTTTATAGTTCGCCACGATTGCGGTTTAATATCTGGTTAAAATGCAAAGCACGAGACAAGGAGAACGATAAAAATTGCAATGCAACAAGTATAACAAGTTCAACAAAATAATCCCAGATTCTGGATGATTTCCTGAATAATTTAAAATATCTTTAAGCCGACAGGATAATAACTAATTCTCTTCTGTTTTGATGATACAGTTGCACATTCTTCATCTTGAAGTGGTTTTATCTTGTAATTACCATTCCTTTCAAGGTTAAAGGAGCATGCTGAATAACTGGCCAAACTTGTCCCAAGTTCTCCTTTAAACTAGGCTACAACTATGAAGCAATACTCGCTTCAATTAGTTTGGAGTCAGCGATCGAAAGAATCTGACGATCCTGAACCAGACTTCTTGAATTAAAAAGGTATTGAAAAATATAATAAAAAACAAAACACAAAAAACATCAACATCAACAACAACAACAACAACAACAAGCAAAATATCAGACTTATTATTGCAGTAGTGAAATGTTCAGAACGTTTACCGATCTAATATGCTATCAGGCAAAGCCATACGCCCGCCTTCGTCTTTTCCTGCCGCAGCTATTCCATAATGTCTGTGCCCCATGCCACCCGAGAGAGTCCCATCATGCATGTCGAGCCCAGATAACCTCTCAAAGCTTTTAAAAATAATAATAATAATAATAATAATAATAATAATAATAATGATAATAATAATAAAAACACACACACAAAATGGTTTCCACTCCGCTAGCAAATAATAGCTTATTCGTTTGAAGTTCAGTTTTCCTCCTCTCGTTTCAAAGGTTAAAGCTGGAGTTCTCCGAATCACCTTCGATAACTTTCATTAACGCCAATCCCAGCAAGTCATTATAATAGCAGTTATACCTCTTACCCTTGATTTTCCAAATTTGACACAAAATTAAAATATAAATCGTCTTTTGAACAAGGTTCTTGCGTATAAGTTTATCTAATCATAAAAATTAATGAATTCTTCATAGCGGCGCTATGATCACGAATCAAGCAGTCAGATGTTAGGTCGATTTTAGGCTTATGTCTCCATGACAACAGTTGTCTATGCGCCCGCAAAAAGTCATTTCCGAGTTACCTCAAGCCTCTGTTTCAAAGCGAGGCTCTGCGCAAAGCCATTCATAAGATAATGATTTTTTATTCTCATGCAAATGAAACTCATTTTCACAACAACGGTTTTGCACTTAACCTACCCTGCCCGCAGAGGTTTTTCTCTTACACTGCTTTTAGCGTTTACGAAGTCGTTCGCGTGGCTTGTCAGTCGTGTAAATGATGTATAAAACCAGCCAATCACGCGACTGACAAGCGGGGCGAACGACTTCCTTAACGCTTAAAGCCATGCAAGAGAGAAACCTCTGCTCGCAGCCTGGTTTTGAAAGTGAGTTATGGCCTATTGAGTTGCTGTGTTCAAATCATTGTACGTAAGGGAAGAGACTTTGAAAGAGAAAAGTTATGGCGAGGGAGGTACAAAGAATTGGGAGAAGAAATAAGGGAAATGTTAACGAAAGGAAATTTACACAGCTCCAAAATTCCAATCAATCCATGCCACGAGATGTTAGATGTGTTAAAAAGCTCTCTTGCAATGTAAAATTACTGGCCTTTTAGAACCTGTATTGACATTGCAATAGAAACTTGTGTCTGACGACTTACCGCCCCATTCGATTTATACTAATAGGTACAAAGTCGACATATACTGCAAAAATCTCAGATAATATTAAGATATAAAGCTTATTTCAATCTGAAAAAAAAAGGCTGCCTTATCTTTCCGCAATAATACCAACGTGGCAGCAAACAGCCCCGCCCACCCCTCCTCAGACTGAGCGGTACTTTTCAAAAAGTTTAAAACTATAGAACACAAGCTCTTGTACATCGTCATAAAACGGTTTTAATAAACAAATGTTCAATAAAATTGCAATTCTTAATGTATTTAAAATTATACATCATAATTAACTCGTACAGTCAACAGGATTTGACCAAGTTTACTATTCATTCAAAACCAACGCTCGGTAGTTATAAAATTAATAAACTCGTCGTGGTTTAATAGCTTATGAGCGTTGACGCCTGTACAATTATTTATTATTCTGTTTTTGTCTTAGTTTTAACAGTGTTCACGATGGAAACGTATTCTTGGACCACAGGCTTGTTCATTTTGCCCCATATAATAAGGTAATCCGAGACAGTCTTGGATTATGGATTCAAGCTATGGATTCCGGATTTCCTTGAAAGAGTAACTTCGAGTCAGAATTCCAATCTTGAGCGGCATTACGGATTCCTTGAGTTCTGGATTCCACAAGCAAAAACTTCTCGGATTCCGGAATCTGGATCACCATTCATTGAATGACGGAGGAAACAAAACTGTTTATAATTTACTTATCAACAGAGGGATTGAAGATAATTAATGAATATTTTTAGGTTAGCTTGTTACGAAAAACTGATGCTTTCGATTAATCTTATTTTGGGAATACATTCTTTGTTGTTGTGAAGCCGACAGCGACGCGAGAAAAATGGCGTGATTATTTCGTTTTATTCCAAGCATTTTGCTCCCCGAAGCAGAACATTTGAAATATATTCCACTTATTCCGGATTTTTCCTCCAGGTATTCCCATCACGGAATGAGGTCAATCGAACAAACCCTCCCGTTGTGGTCGTGCAACGACGGCTAAGAAATGTACACAAAAAGCGTGATGCACGTGCAAATTTTGATGTTTTGCCAATAAAACCTATTGCGTTTTTTTTGTCCTTTTCGTTGCCGTCGCTGTCGTCGTTGCTTAAGCTCCATAATAATACTAAAAGAATAATCACTAATCAAAGCTAACCCAGCTTTGCTGTGCGTTACACAATTGGCTTTGTTTATCGGTTGCTTTTTCCTCCCGAATTATCTCTAGGTTATCTGAAGACTGCTGAGCCGGAATTATCCTCGGGAAATTGTCGTATGGACCGCTATCTCTTCTTATTTCAAGTCTGGATAAATCCACTGCGCCAAGATGATTTTGAGAAGTAACGGATCTTTCCAGAAGTTCAGACTCCTTTGTAACTATTGCAGAATTCAAATTCGTTTTAGCATCACCCGCACTGAGATTAAACGAGTTTATCTCGGAATCAGTAAACAAAAATTCTTGAGCGTCAGGTGGAAGTGAGACCACTGTGTCCCGTAATAAAGACAACGAAACTGGCCTTAGCGGGGATATGGTGTCATCCTTTGGTGAACCTGTTTCTAATAACGCGTCCACCGAACCAAGAGATTTCTTTTTAACAGAAGCTGGTCTCTTAGGAACAGGCGGTTTAGGTCTGGATGGCGAAGATTTGCTCCTTTCTAAAGATACCTCGCTTCCTTCTGATGTTCGCCTGTCGGAACCTGATCGCCGTAAAGTAAAGTCAGGTTCCTGGTTGTTTATAGTTCCAGAAGGGGTGAACACTTCGCTTGAATCATCGCTTGCTGCAGTTCGATCAACTTGTTTGAGATCTACATCAGGTTCATTTGACTGTTAAACAAAGCAACAAAGGTTAATAAATACGCAGGATTAAAGTGAAAAGGTGATCAACTTTGAGGTGTAAATAAATAATAATAATAATAATAATAATAATAATAATAATAATAAAATAAATAGGATGCTTCTCATTTAACGGGTTACGATAACTTATCATTGTAGGATTTATTTAAAAAGTTACCTATTGCCTGTCTCTGAATAACGCCCTTGTGATTTCAATGAGTGGCACAACAAACATTTTTGGAATACGACGAGTGTTTTCTATCCAATTTTATCAACGAAACGCTAATCTGTGTGTGAAGAAGTCCCCGTCCTCTCGCACTTTAGTCCGTTTTTGAGGCCCAGATACAGTCAAACCTTTAATACGGATACAAAAGGGAGAAAGAAAAGTGTCCGTATTACATGAGTGTCTGTCTGTCTGTATTGGTTTCAGGCTTTTGGTGTCTTTGGGACGACAAGAACTGTCTGTCCATCATAGAGTGAGAGGTGTCTGTATTATTAAGGTGAATAATATGGAAAGGTTTAACGACAGTTTATGAGTAATGGGTGGTTGGTGATGTACCTTAGGGTCTGTTGCACACAGAACACTGTCTGCATTAACATCTGAAGAGTCTGTAGAGTCGTCTAACGAGATAAGTTCGCCAACTGCCACATTTGCCACGAGACTGGGAACACTACGTCTTGTAATCATCTTTGGAGAGGACCTGCCTTCCACTTTCGATAAGGCTGATGTTCGCGGGCGTCTGTCTGATGCGTATGGGAATAACCGGGGAGGAGGGGGCCTGGGCGGAGGAACTTTTGAGCCTGGTTCGATTTTGACTCTTTCAAACTAAAAGAAAGTGAATTAATGGTTGAGTTTTTTTCCCATAACACTAGATACTGAAAGTGTACGTCTTATTCGGTGTATTTCCTATAAAACTTGAGTTTTCCAAACCGTTTGATATCAGCCTGGTGCCAAGGGGACACCTTGCATGTATGAAGATATATATAAGTTCGATTACCAGCCGCTTTTCTGGAAAACGAGCCCGCACTACTCTGTTTTTTTCTCTCTCTCTTGGGAGGAACAGACAGACACCGGACAGAGCTGTGGAAATCGAGCCTCCGTCTCATGTTGTGACAAAAGGAAGTTGAATAGCATTCGTGGTATAACGTTAAGTTTAAATCTTAAAACCCTTTAAACAATTCAGACTCCACAATTTCAAAAGCCGCGGTAACTTTTCAACTTCTCGCCCAGATTTTCTTCCTGGCTCACTTCACAGGACATTCAGAGTATCACTTTAGCGTGGACTTGTATAAAGTAAACCATGAAAGGGACCTCTAAAATTTTGCAATATTTCAAACTAAGGTAGAAAATTGAGGCCTTATGCGCCTACTGGCGCGATGAGACAAGATGATGACGACGACGAAGGTAGAAAATTAAGGCGTTTCAAAATGCGCTGCTATGGGTGAATTACGTCTTCTCAGATTGTCTTAACACCTCAGTTCAGATAGCTGAAATTTCCAAAACAGTGTGAAAATTATCGGAATTTCGTTCTCACATTTCAAGTAGTGAAAATAATGCTTCTTTTGTTGCACGAAAGTTAATCAATCTCATGCAGGAAATCACTAGTACCTCGCCAGGCGAAATAGTTCTTCGTTTGCTAAACGGAGAAAGTTTGCGAACTGAGAAAGGTTTGACTGCCTCCGGGTTTGTATGGGCTCTTTTTTGCTCCCCGCCAGAATCGTCATCTTCCTAAAAAAACAAATAAATAAACACACGCAGAAACACAGACATACAATTGTTAAAAAACATTTCCGCATAATAGTAAATATTACTAACATGATTACTTCAGAGAAGAATAAACTCGCGTATTTCCGGTAAGCAATAATAACTGTCCTATTATGGCTCTTGTAACTGTATACCTTAGTTATATATATTTGACCTTGTAAACACAATTTTGAACGACAGAATGAAGATTTGGCTGTTGGGACATTATATTATGGACAATAATACTCTATAACACTAACAGTTTCTTTCAAGTTATGCAGAGCTTAGGAAGGGGAAGGGGCCGGATGGGTTCTGAAATCTCCGCGAACTTTCAAGAAATTGCCTTTGTTGTTGAAGAATAATTCTCTATAATACAATTTTGAACGTTTCAGCATTTATATATTTTCTTTCTAACAACAACTTCAATTGAATATATTGTCATAAAAGGAGAAATAAATAAAATCTTCGATCATTTCGGGATGGTTACCTTTCCTTTAAGTTTGTCTACTAATCCACCTTTGACGTCAGCTAGCTGAGATTTTATTCCACTTTTCACGTGTTTCCAGTTGTGCTTGGCCTCCTTGTAACGCTTCTTCATTTTTTCCTCCGTCTAACAACAGCATTGATCATTAGTAATGATATTCTGGAAACGAATCTCTGTGCTGCTATTCCTCTTAATTTTGCAGCAAAGACGGTGGAGCAATGCCACAATCTTACATTTCGAAGATTAACAAGAGTCGTCCCCTTTAACTGATCTACGCTGCTGTTGTTTGAGTTATCATATATTGAGGTTTTATATCACGCTTAATTCAGTTTTGTTTTGTTTTCTGTTTCTTGCTACAGTCGACCCTCCATGAACGAGAAACACTCGTAAGCGACCACTTCCCTCATAAGCGACCGCCAATCAAAAACACCAAAACTTTCTCAATCAAAGCCTTACAGTTGCAACCTCTAGTAAACGACCACCTCTTAAAGTAAGCGACCGCGACCACTTTCTGTGCCTGAAAGCTTAAAGCTTTTCTATTGTTTTTAACTTGACGAATTCTATAATCTCTATGTTCGCTGTGTGCTCTGTGCTACTTTGAATATACGAATAACTCTAGTGACAACATGGAACTACGCATGGCGTCACTTAGAAACTGTATGCAATACATGCAACTTATCTTATATCTTATCTTATCTTACCCACTAAGTCTTTGCATTTTGGGTCGCTTACGGGAGGTTAGACTTTATATATGTTAGTGCATCTAGAAAACACCATCAGAACAGGTTACCGCAGAAAATACAAGCCAGAAGCTTATAACAAACAAGCGCTACTACATCAACTTTCTTGTAAGCTACAACTGGGCGCGACACTGGGATTGGTGAGAGTTTTGTATAAAAGACAACTCTCTGTTAACGGAAATCTAGACTTTATCCGCGCCCCTGTCATAGCGCGCTTAGTGCTATTCCGGCTTTGACTTTCTATCAGGAGAACATATCGCAAGGCCCGTCTTAGAGAGACGTCTTGGACTCTCTTGCTCTTGACTTCAACCAACCTTATTTTCTCCAATGTGATAAGCTTCCACTAGTCCCAAGTTTGATAAGGGATTTAAATTAAAACTTAAACAAAAGAGAGCTGAAAAGCAGACATTGGTTGAAACATACCTTGTCAAGGAACGCTCCACCAGATTTCTGTAAATCAAACAACAACCGGAGGTAATGAAATAATTTGTAAAGAATTAAAACCGAATGGTTATATCTTTTAAGTCTTGAAGGCACTGATAAACGCAAGCTAAATCATGTCACGCCTAAAACAACACTACCAACAACAACTCTTACGACTTTTAAGTTATTTAATCAATTATTATAGCTTGGTGTTATGGATGGTGCAATCACCAAATTACGAAGTAGAAACGATTGGAGAGGCACAAAGGCTTTACGACAAGATTGTATGAACCCAAAACTAATCGAGTTCTACGGAACAATTAACGGAAAAAACACTGGCAGAAAGAGTTAAGGTAACTAGGAGGTTATTTTTGAGACAGTAAACTTTATACCATTGTTTCTTTCATCCAAAGTTGATATTGAGTCTTCCAACTGCCTCTATCTGCAAGATGAAGTAAGTGTAAGGAAAAGATCAATCGACTAATCAATTAATCAAATCAACCGATTGATCAATCATCATCCGATAAATACTGTTTTTTCGCGAATATGAATTTCGCACTTTCTTTCAAAAGCAAGCGCTCTACAAAATAAGCGTGCACGAGTTTAAACTTTTGCTTCGATTGTTCACTTACTTTCCGCCTGTAAACCGATCTGTTCTTCGAAGGCATCGTTGAAACCTCTTCCAGCATTTAACATATCCAACCTCTCTGTAATAAACTAAAAAACATTGAAGGTGACAAACGTTATAGTTTTAACACACAAACTGAACATTAACAGTATTGTCATTATCACAAACAATATTTTCAGTATAAAGTCATCAAAGACTGAATGGTGCTAAAGACCTATGACAACGATTCATTAACAAAAAATGAAACAAAACAAAATGTACCTGTTCAAAGAGCTGTAACTGAAGAATGAACTCCAACAATTGTCTCATACTATTTGACCTTGACTGCACAAATCTGTGACGCAACAGTGAAACCGTCATAAGCCACACACATTAAGAGTATCCCTGTTATAACCTAACTGTTACATTTAGGTAGAATAAATGAATAACATGCAACCTGGGGTCGCTTTAAAAAGTACAAAGTGACAGCCCTTAATGCACCATTATCAACTTTTTTCATTTAATATTCAAATGTTTGCACATAGCCTAGATCGTCCAATAAAATAAGCAAACGTGGCCAGATAACTGTTTAGGAGATATACTATAACCCATTATACGATATAACAGATCACTTACACATCTCTGTCGAAGAAAATCTTCTCACCCTGAAATGATCATTTAAAAAGAAAAGTCAAGTATTTTAAAAAGTTCATCTACAACAAAAAAGTGAACTACAAGTAACAAAGTTAGGAAAAGTAAAACACACAAAAAGGAAATAAGAAACAAATGGAAACTGTTTCAACAGTTAAAACAGGTAAAACAGGTAAAAAAGGTAAAACAACAGATGAACTATCCTCGCTACTCTGATCCATCCTCACTTCCTCATAGTATCAGGTAAAATCACCCAAATGCCTTTCCGAAAACTCTCAGAAAAACACTTTTCTTAAAAATCATACCCTGGTCCTAGAGGTTTCTCTTGAAATTATCCTCCGCCTTATCCTACGCGTTTTTTGCCGCTTCGTTTCTCGGTTTCGCGGCTCGCTCGCTCTCACGCGGAGAAAAAATTCAAGAAAAGCACTGGGAACAGGGTATTTAAAAACTATTTTAAAAAGCGTTAAAAAATGTCAAATAATAACTCAATAGCCTCCTACCGTCTAAATATTTCCACATTTGCTAAATTTACCGGAAACTTCTAAATATCTAAAAGACATCTCGACTCTTAGGGACGGACCATTAGAAAAGCTATGGGGAGGGTGGGGAATTTTTGAGCCGCAGGAATTTTTTTTCGTTATCAAATTCCTTGTATGAATATTTTTTAGGCCGTAGCATGAATATTTTTTAGGGTTAATTGGCGTGCATGCATTTTTTTTCATTTAATTTTGCCTTGCGCGAATATTTTTTTGGTACTTCCCCCATAAGTTTTCTAATGGTCCATCCCTTATGGTACTCAACGAAAACAGTAATGAACATGAGTATATCAATCATCAACTTACAGGCTTAAGCCGCAAAGCATCTCTATATCCACCTATTAGGGAGACCATGGCACATAAAAAAGCCCTGGAAATATTATCATCAATTGGATAAACAGGTTTCTTGAGAGTGCTCTTAAGGGTAGAAACCTAAAATGAAAAAAAACAAAAAAAAATTCACAAATCATGACTTCTAACCATGGGACTCTAAGGGAGGGCAGCGTGGCCGAGTGGTCAGCGCCTCGGACTCGCAATCCGGCGGTCCCGGGTTCGAGTCCCGCTCTGGCCACTTGCTGGATTTGTGCTAGGTCGTTCCGAGTTCAAATTCTCGGCCACGCTTGTAAATAGCCAACTGGTTGCCTTCTGCCAGTTGGGAGTTTTCATCCTGTTATGTTGTATTTGAATTATTTGTTTCTAATATTTGAGTGGAGTGCCTGTAAATTAGCTGGACAAGCTAAATGCTCTTTCCACCATAAACAAGCCTTTAACCTTTTTTTTTTTTTAACGTCACACTTGATAGATCTGAATCGAATTTTGGCCCTTGTTCTCATTTTCTCCGGGAATCTGTGCGCTACATATACTCAGCGAAGTTAATTTCCTACTAAGCGAAATTTCACAAAAAATCGATAAGGAGAATTTTGAGATATTTTGTAATTACTACATTAAGGGCACAATTTATGCGGAACTGAAAAAGGAAGTTTATTCACCGAAATTTTCCACTTCTTGAATGTTTCTAGGAAGTTTTTATGACTCATTATTTAAAGAAACGCTCCGTGTACTTTCTCCAAACCGCTGGAAGTAGGTACCGGTAGTCTTGTACGATTTCGAAAAACAGATATGCATCAGGGTAAGACACAATGGTGAGTCATAATATTATTAGTAAAGCTGCTTCACAAACAGAGATTAAATCAATATTCGTAGACTTATTTCCTGCAATTGAATCAGCGTACTTAACAATCACTGAATTTCAAGTCCACTGAGCCAACAATTTAGTAAATATTGAAGAGATCGGTCATAGTTTTGAATAATAATTTGTGCTCTGGGATTTTCTACTGTTTCAAGCTTCGAAAAACATCTACAGTGCAGTGGGTACGTGTGATCAATTGACGCGCAATAATGATCAAACGGTTATAATACAATGTAGGTCAGTTAAAAATATTGGCACAGCCATTTAAAGAAAATGACATCAACCTTAAATGGCAAGCGAGGTACAGGTGTACTGATTACCATTAAAACATGGCGCATACAAGGCGACGTGTTACAGCAAAAAGTCACTGGCAAAAAGTCACTGCTATAGAATAAAGGTCTAGTATGCTGACCATGTGATAGTCAAAAAAGCGGGTCACTTAGGCAAGGATCAGCGCAACAACAGATCGCAATTTGTACGAATTGAAAAAATGTCACTAAACGCTGCACTAAGCAAATTTAGAGCTACATGTAAACCTTGAGCGAAAATAAGGCGGAAAAAATTTTTCGTCGCAAAATTCAAAATTAGCAAAAACAGGAACACACTTGGTGAATTAAAAAGTGACTTACAGCATCAGCTGGCAACTGAGAGATATCATCAAATGGACTCTCCACCACATTTGTATCAGCATCAACAATTACAACTTCATCCAAAGGCATTTGACGCACTTTCTGAAAAAGGAAGAATGGAAAGATGATTTCAAGGTCTACCAGGAATGGATCGACTCCAATAAGCATTCAGTCTCAGAGGAGGACATTGTGCGCATTAAGACCGAGCTGAGCCAACTGGATGAGAAGACTTACAGTTGATTGCTCTTCAGTCGACCAATGATGATGATGATGATGATGATGATGAATTGATGAATTTGAAAAATGTGAAAGTGAAAAAAAAACTGCATTCCAGTTCAGTTCACGACAAGAAACGTGTAGTGTACCCACCGGCATTAATGATGAATGCACTCCTACTAGGAAAGGCATTGGTGCACTGAAAGAAAAGATGCAAGGTGATAATAGACTTGTTAATACCTGTTCCGCCTTGCACAAAGATAACTCGCAAGTAACAAGGGTTATCTAGAAGAACAAGAGCTCTGCTTGCATATTATCTCCTATATATTTGCTTAAATTTTTTAAATATTTCTTCATGAGACGGCCAGTGCATTAAAACAAGCATTGCTACAACATTTCAGCAGTCATGTGTAAATTGACTTCCGAGGCCAAGAGGGTATAGATGCCAATATTTGGTGGTGGGTGGTGGTTTATTTCGTTTCGTTGAACTTTATGTTCATTTGAGTATTCTATATTGATATGACAAAAAGTTGCACATCCTTTTTTATACACCAACAAAAGATTTAATAACATATTGTTTCAAATGGCAAAAAATCCAGCAATAACATTCTCGACTCTAGCATGCATAAGCCAGGCTGTAACACAGAAGTTGATTAACCTACCAACAGTAGTCTAACAGATGCGGTGGCACAATAGGAACAAACATGTGCTGCCTAAGAAAAAAAGAAACATAACATTACTCTCAGGGACAAATACATGTACGGGACGCAAGGACTTTACCTTATACATACGGAGAGCTCAGTGGAATTACTGGTCCCAGTTGTTCAAAAGGAGGATAATGCTGTCCACTGGATGAATCTCTGTCCCCAATACTTATCAGCTGGATAGTCATTTATCCAATGGATAGCACTATCCAAAGTTTTAACAACCAGGGCCTGCAATTTGTGCCATTGGTTATCAAAATGACAAACATTGAAATAAATTGCTGAGTCATTATTTATCTACATAACTTTACAGAATGTGATCATAAACCGCAAATTCCTGCCCAGGAAAAAAAAAAGAAAGAAAAGAAAAGAAAAAGAAAAAAACAGTGGTGGGAGATTATAAACTTACCAATGCATTGGGTACAGGAGAGAAGCTGCTCCGTAAGTACATGCTGTCAACTGAAAGAAAAATCATCAAAGACTTTCAGTGAGCATGCTGGACAGTGGCTATCCCATGCAATAGGAGTGGCCATACTCTCTCCAAAATAAAAAATAAAAATAAAATAAACAATATAATGAGATGAGACAAAAAAACAACAATTACAATTACAACAACAACTGTATAGGATCATTAATTTTAAGATGGCCGGGAGTGGGACAGGACTACTGAATTGCTGTTACTTATCTCTAAAGACAAAACTATTGCCATTGTGACCAGAACAAGGTGTAGGTGTCTAACTCTAGGGCTATCCATCAATATTAAACAAAAGGTGTCAGTATGAGGGTTCAATGCTTGCAATACTAAGCCTCATATAGAAGTGCTGTGTAATTCAAACAATGTTTTCTTCACTTTAATCTTTCCAAAGTAAAATCATCTTTAAAGTTTGGATTTGTCATCCTTACAATGCAAGAGAATATGCTTTCTATTACAAAATGTTTAGAAAACAAAAATGCAGAGACTACTGATGTCTTTTAAACTTACCAAATTTAGCTTCTTGGATGTAACTATTATTCTCCTCTCAAAAAACATACTTAAACGAGAAAAAAAAAACAATAAAAAACATTCAAGGTGATTATCAATAAAGTTCTCTTTTAAAGTGAATACCGGGCAATATTCTTACACACTTCAATAATATGTACCTACATGTGCACCAAAAACCAGTGACCCCACACAGTTCAAGGTTAAGCTAGTTCATTCAACATGCTAAACATTAATGAAATTGAAAAGATATTGACTCTCACTATTTTCAACAATACAAGTTGCAACTTGCTTATCATAACCATTGTAATGTTTTAATTTAACTCTGTGTCACTGGCTATACAGCTACAGTGCTTATACATTATACAGCAAGTTTAAAGTTACAGAAAAAAATAATGACAGCTACATAATAGCTAATAACAATTATTTAAGGACTCTGCTAGACTATTGCTCCATTAATAAAGTGAACTGGCGTAAAGTATTCCTTGCATAGCAACATTACACATAATGTAAATATATGTTGTAGTTAATCTCAGGTAATTTTTGTTTTTCTTTTGTTTTTGGGTACGGTAATGTAGGCTAAGTTGCCGGAACAAAAAAAATAATAACAATTACCTGAGATAAAAAATTAACTGCAACATATATATATATCTATTCAATCATCCATTACCTGGCAAAAATTAAGATCATATTTGATGGGTCCACCGCAGCATAGTAATCAGTGAGATTTCTCTGATAAATCGAAAAGAATTTTCTTTTGTCAAGACGGATAAAACTAGTGGTATCATTAATACTTGACTTTAATAAACAGTGGAAACTTGACCCTTTACACCAATAAATGCAAATAATTGGGTAGCCCTTATTATCATTAAATATATATATGTTTTATAATATTACATATTACACCTGCCTGACATTATTTTTTAGGGTTATGAACACTGCTGTACAATGTATACACAAATCTATTAACCCAATCACAGCTAAAACACTCATAACCCATGTGCAGATCCTTGCCCCATGTACCACTTGTGATGTTGTAATAACAAATGTCTCTGACCATTACAACTGATTGCAAAAACCCCAAGAATTGACCATAGGTAAAGGTGGAAAGGCGCACACGAGCCAAAGGCCTAAATGGCCGGCGCTTATCCCAGTGTCCTTAGCATAAAGCATCTGCCTAGGAGTATTGCTACTCCCACCTGGATGGGATGCTACTCCAATGCACGGTTACCCCCCAGCAGTATATCACCGGGACCTATGATTTATACACCTGGTTGAATTCACAGACAAAGTGGAGTAAAGTTCCATGTCTCACGAAACAATGCGACAGGCGAGGCTTGAATCCCAGACCTCCAGATCCGGAATTGGAGGTGTTAACCGCTCAGCCAGCTCACACCACATGCCTCCTCCCATATAATACTTCCTTTCACATAAATTTACGATTATCACATTTTTGCAGAAACTTTCCTCAATGGATGAAGCCTTATAATCATAGTGAGTACATGTGCATGCCATGCATGCTGGTATTCATTATCAAGAACAGAAGGCCTGACTTAAAAAAAAGCATTTTGATAGCTTTTGGATCATTAATTGGCCACATAGTGAACCGAAATGGCTTGACAAGCTCTAAAGCATTTTTCTGCAAAATTTCCAAGGGCAAATAGGTTAATACAAAGCTACAACCCTTAATTTTGTGACTCTAAAACTACATGATCCAATGATGAACATTAAATACATGTACCGGTTTAAACTGACGACTAGATTGTAACTAGTACCTACATCTTCTGGTATACTTGGTAATTTTGATACATCTGGCACAACAAATGAAAACTCCTACACAGAAACCAAAACATTTTAGACAATTTGTACACACCATTATAACATTACCTTGACAATATTGTTCACATTGTTAATTAAATTTATGGGATATCACGCTGTAAATGTATGGAGTATACTATGGTGTTAACATTACTTTAAAACAGAGCCTCTCATGGTGTGCAAGTGCAGGACGGCACAACAATAAATATTATTTTTTAGTGAACACCTCTTCGCAGACAGTATGAGAATATTAAGGGTTTCACATATTAAATGAACTTCATGCGCTTTATTTAAGTGTCAATGGATTTGGTAAGAAAGTACTTATTAGGGATCCACAGTAGTAACATTTTCTGTCTCCTACTGGAGATGAGACTGCCTTTTTACGTGGTCATTCAAGCCATGTGAAGGTCTAGCTGTTTGCAGGGCAAAAGGCAGTACATTCATTTCTCAGTTATTTTAAGACCCTGAGTGTTGGTCCACTCCTGGGAATCGAACCTGCGACCTCACGCTCTGCAGTCAAGCACTCTACCAACTAAGCTAATCCTGCCATGTTTAGGCAGTAAAAAATATATAACAAATAAAAATATATACAAAATAACATTAAAAACATTGTACAAATTTCATTCACGTACATATTAACTACTTAATAATTTGTACTTTGGTGCATGTACACTTCATTTCACTGTGACTTACCTTACTTTCTTCATTGACTTTAACTGCTAAAGGACTGCCAGGTTTTGGAGGAGATTGAGTTAAAAGATAATTCAGCAAAGGAAGAAATGCATTATCCTGCAAAAAAAAAACATAGGTTGCTTTAAAACAGCAAGAGAAGTAAAACAAAACTTTTGGCTTTCAAAATAATTAAAAGCGATGGAACTGTGGAAATCATGCAATTTACACAAAGAATACTACTAGAAGAAGACCAACAAAAAATCAGGTTATGTGTACCTTGTTGGTACTTAATTTCATGGGTCTTTAATTTGAATTTTTTCGTGATTGTAAAAAAATTGCAAAATTTAAGAGCCACTAACATAAAACCTCGCATAATTTAATAACCATATAAATATTAATAAAGAAAAATTCTATCGATTCAAATCACTATTAAAAAAAAAAAAAATTAACATGTATAATAGCAACACTGACACATACAGGATACATGTACATGTTGTGGTTTAAATTTTTCCTTGGTTTAAAATTTTTCAAACCAGTTTAATTTTTGTTTTTCTTTGTCTCTGATTATGGTAATTGATTTTAGACAAAGGAGAGTAAAAATTAAACTGGTTTGAAAAATTTTAAACCAAGGAAAAATTTGAACCACAACATACATATTGTATTGTCAAATACACCTGTTTGTCAAATTGCTAACTGATTTTTTAGGCAAGCTCCAATAATTGGAGCTATAACTTTTCCACTGTGAAAATAAACATCAACTTACAAAGATTTCAGAACATTGCTTGTCCCAGTTTATATTTTAAGAGGTTTAGACTCTTTTGAAAAATAAACTGACAAATAAAGTGACATTAAAACTTGAAATTTAATGTTCTTTGGCATATTTGTCGGTTGAAATAGTGAAAATAAGACCTTGCAAAATACTGTTTTGCCAAAATTGCAAAATTAAGTATGCAAAATTAAGTATTGACAAGGTATCACAGAGAAAAGGTCCTGTCATAAGTACTAGAAGGGCAAAGAAGAACCTCCCCTTGACTTCCTCAAATATTTTTAGAGTAACTTGACACTGAGTATTGGTCCAGCCTCGTGGATTAAACCCACAACCCACTGCCCTATAGGCCAGTGCAAACACTGCTGTGGTTGACTGTAGAGGTCTTAAATAAATGTCGGCTGCTACTAAGAAATTATACTTTCCTTATGGATTTATAACACGACCCACAAACCTGGCCTTAGTGGTAACATTGAAAATCTTTTAATGGAAATTCAAATGCTCATAATCCATAAAGAAAAAAAAACAACAACAAATTAATGCTTAATGAGTGTCTTTATATCTGATAAAGACTCAGCTATTAAACTTTACGTCCAATATTTTGGACCAAAATAACCCCAAATCTAAACATTAGTGCAAGAATGAGTTGATCTATATCAGTAAATTGGAGCCTTTCAAAAAACTCCCAGTTGTGTATTATCAGGTTCAAAAACTCCTAAACAGTATATGGTAGTTTATCACTTAAACACAACATTACTCACCTCTTTGGTCCTCTTTAAGTCAGATATCCTGTTTAAAAGCTCATAGAAAATCTTAAACCATGGCAAATAGCTGAAATAAGAAAATTTGAGTCAATCAAGTAACTTGGGGATTTTGTTTTGGCTGACGTGCTTTATATAACCAATTTACTTGCCTCAATTTAATTTAAATTTAAATAAATTTAAAATAAGGGCTAGAAAGACTCAGGCACCTTTCCAGCGACCCCTATGATGATAGCTAATTACCTCAAAATGCAAAGGCAGGTCTTAACATCAGGGGAATAACGACAAAAGCCAAATCTGTATTTCCCTTCAATGTCAGTGAGCACAAACGTGTAATGCTGGACGGCTTCCCTGTAAGAAAAAATAATCCCAACTTCTTTCAGAATTTAGACCATTCTTTTTTCCTAATAGCTCATGCAGAATGCAAAAAAATAGAATAATCCCGGCAGTGATCACAGCAGACTTTAAAGACCAGTGTATGTATCACTCAGCCACTTGGTATTGGATACTGCATTTGTATTTGTAGTTGGGTCTAGTCATGGAAAATAAACAGACCAACTACATATATGGTCACAGACATGCAGTAAAAGATAGGTTTACTTACGAGTTTGTAACACATGGATAACAGAACTGAGGAATTGCCTTCAGTGCTTCCTAAAAGAACACAATTTGGAGAATAACCTTACCACAAGTCGCAACAACATGACAGTTACAGTAAAATGTAGCACATACAATCAGAGCTTAACCATACTAGAAATACGCACTGTCTCACAGAACCCCATAAAGCTTGGAAAAATGCCCAAACGAAGGGTGTAATCGGGAAAAGGCCATGATAAAAATAAAGGAAAAACAAGTCTACAAGTCTGAGATTGAGACAGCTATGCCACTAAGCCATGAAATTCTAGACTCTCAACAAGGTTAAATACTCTATGTTAATAAGTCAGTGCACTAACTGTGCTATAAGGTACTCTGGTACACAGAACTAAACTTAAAACACATTAATTTAACTTATACGCTCATGCATATGCATTATACATGTATACTGCACCTACTTTTTCATCAAAATCTGTGGGATGAATGAACTTGATCTCTGGACCTGGAAGAAAAGGGATACTTCCTAAATCATATAACCAAACAATGAAACATGAGCCAGGATAGAGCGCAAGTCCTAATTTACAAAAAACCCTTTTTTATTTTAAATTTATGGACTTAAAACATCAAATGACGTATACTGTTTCATACTGCAGTCGAACCTCCATTAAGGAGGCCCAGTGTTAGGGTAAATCCTATATAGGACAGCAGAAATGGTGACAAGCAAAACAAGATGGGTTGAAACAGCAACGGCAACAAAGAAAAGTGCAATTAATAGCAAAATACTGACAGCAACATGGCTTGCTGCTGAAATTGTACACAAAACAACAGACAAATGCAACAGCAAAATACTACAATGACAGGGCTTCCTGCTCAATACTTGAAACAAGAGGTTTTAAAAATAAGACTAGTGACATACATAGCACCCCAGACCAGCCAGTGAAGTGTCTGTTCTAAAATTGTCCTTTTTATGATGAGCTACTAATTGACTGCATGGTCTTGTGGGTCCCCCCCCCCCTGCCCCCAAGGGAGGACGGTTAGTTAATGGTGATTCAACTGAGTTTATTAAGTGACAACTTACCCACATTGATGTCACAATTTTCAAGCTACATTTTTTTTATTTCAACAAACTCAAATACAGTTTAAGTATAATTAAACATATCAAAATTTTCTGTTGAAATCATTTTCAGGATGGTTTCCTGTATAAATAGTACACTGGAGGCTTACATAATGTGTACGTTGTGGTTCAATTTTATCCTTGGTCTAAAATAATTTTATTTCCCATTGTTTTGGGGTATCGTAATGTATGATAATGGGTTTAAAACAAACAGAAATAAAATGTAAACCAAGCATAAAATTCATTGAACCACAACATGAAATTATAAAATGTGCTATATATATCAATAATATTCTTCTCTGACTTGCATTCATGTATTGCATTTGATTCTTTTTCAATCACGTAATTAATTATTTTCTCTCTCAGGGAAGAGGATCCAGCCCTCATCATGGCATAAAGGCAACCTTTGCCAAATAAATTAATAATACTGTAGCTGTAGACAGAAAAAGGGAATACTGTGGTTCAGTAATTTAACTGCATGCACATTGTACTGGCATTAGCCGGCACTTTTATACAATTATGCTAGTATGAACACGTAATCTTGAAAATACAGGTGCACTCAATACACCTGCAAGATACTACTAAAGCATTTAATTCTACAAATCACAAGAATGAATTACACTAAATACAAACAAAGCCATACAAGCAGTGTACGGAAATGAAATATTTTATAATTTATAGTCGGTTTAAACAATGGAAGTTCAACAACTGGTCCAGGTCAATGTAAACATATAATACTAAATGTTAAGAGGGGAAACATCATATCATAAACAATCTAGATTTTAACTTGAAATAACCTGTTATTTACGCACATTAGTTTTATTCGAAAATTATGCATAAGAGGAAATTAGATTAAATAAGCTTAATTTCATTCATCATACGCTTACGAACAAAAACACTAAAAAAAGGACGCTAAAAATTAATAAAACTGATCATGACACGACGATATTAGCTCTAAACGTAGAGTTAATTACGTGGTTCCAAACTAAGCGAAATGTTTGAGGCTCAAAGTATGCTGAATTTCAACGTAGTTGCACATTTACTCAGCTATTACACGTGAGCTAAATATTTTAACATATGCTTGCTACCAGTACTTTTAAGGAATAATAACTTCCATTGCGAATCACAACTTGAAGTCTCAGAAGAAATATTATACCAAGGGTTTCCAGCGTTAAATAGTTTATTTGTGAGAATCGGACAACTTTCTGCACAATCAAACGATAAAGTAAGACAATCTTACCTCCATCGGTTGGGATAGGAGCAGTGACTTCTAAGAAACACTCAAAAATCTTTTCTGGAGATGGCCTACGATGAACAAAAGATGTATTGCTATCTCGACTTACTCCCAAAACGCTAAAATATTAGCATCATACCTCAATCTAGAGCCCATTTCGTGAAAGGAAACCGAAGATAAACTGTGGATGTTTCACCCAGCCGCCATGTTTGTTTTATGTATCACTTCCGATCAGACTGCGCTTGCGTCATTTCGGCCGGGGGAGGAACTGTTGGAATTGACAGGAAGTTGGGTGCAACCGGAAAAAGGTCTGTGAGATTTACACCTTGTGCCAATAAATGTCTTAGTCTTTTCAATATTTCTTTTATCTTTTGATCATTGAATAATTATGACTTACTATACCTTTAAAGGAAACTAGAGATGTGAGAAAGAATACTAGTTGACGAAATCATCAAAGCCACATACCTTAACTTATTATACCAGCTAGGATTTTTTTCTCTCGAATCGTGCATGCATGGAGCTTTCAACTCAGGAAATTTGAGAAAGAACTATTCATTTAGTGAGTTATTATTACAAGGCCAACAAAGCTTAAGAAGATGATAAAAGAAAGAAAAATGGATAACTTAAGGTATCGTAGGCATCACTGATTGGTTCGTCGCCAAATAAAATTTCTAAAGAATTGCGATCTAAACTTGCGGAAAACAGAATGCCAAGGTAAACAATTAATTATCATTTTATAGCGATCCTTTATATTATGACAATACTTCAAATGACCATTCTCTTTATAAGTAAATAATATAATTCTTTTTTGAAAGCAATATTTCCCATAGACAAAAAACTGTTTTCTCTGATACGACATTGCAAAAAAGAGTACTAGAGGAAAACATCAAAGCAAAGCTGTTTTTACACGCCTTGGAAAAGGTTATTGCAATTGGAAGTCCTCGATTGGACCATAACTGTAACACTTGCGCCTCTAGTCTTAGGCCTGCTGGCATTTTACTTCACAGTATTAACCGCAGACAAATGTTTCATTAATGCTGTCAGAGGCACCGAGGAACAGGCAAAGACATCAATTGTTCCCAAACTAGCGTCAGAAGTGTCTCCCGCATGCTCTAAAAACTGTTTACTCGGCTGTTTGGATGTCTTAGAGGTTCTCAGTGGCTCATCTCGAAAGTTGAACTTGTGGCTCTTTCGTCACATACGAAACCGTTGCTATGATCAGGGGTTCAGTCGAAAGTTCCAGCACAAGGATGTTTTTCTTTAAACCGAAAATGTGAAAAACGCAGCCTCAGAAAATAAGTTGTGACTAAGTTAGTGAAATTCCGAATATCTTATTAGTCATTATTAGCCTTTCTTCAGCTTTAGAAATTTCCATGCAAGGATTTAATTTGCTTCTTTGAACAGTTATTTTACTGAAAAAAGTCGTAGGGTGCCCCTATGTGTATAAAAAAGGCCTGTGGGCACAATCCAGAAACATGCGTGATCATCATTCCCTCCTTGATTTAATGGCCTACTTAAAAAGATCTGGGTGGACGGTATCTCTTTGCTGAGAACAACATTAACTAATATTGTCTACACTTTTAACTGAGTTTACATATAAATTCTTCCTAAAATATACGCAAATGTTGGTCACTGTTTACTTCGTTTGCGTGAGTGGTCGACATTAATCCTATTTACAGCTCGCTGACACCAGACAACATCCAATGATATGAGTTTCTTTCTCGAGTTAACCGTGCAAACAGTATACATGAGTATAGGACAGAAATGCTTTGGATATGATGACAGACAAATATAGCTCCAGCTATGATGTAAGGATAGTGGACCAACCTTCCAGAGAACATCATGGATGTTCGACCGATCCCGGATGTTGGAAAGTAGTCCGGAATTGGGCAAACAATTTCGAGACTCGTATTATTTAGTAAAACATTAACTTTTCCACTCCTTTTTTGTATATATTCTGGTGCTAAGCCCTCCACCAAGCCCCCTAAAACGTTTGCTTTCAAACCGAAAATATCAAGCAAATACACTTTGATCAGTTTTGTTGTTCGAAGACCCCGGGCTTTCGTGTTTTAATCTCACAGAGGCAGCGCCACACTATGTTCATCACACGGTCTACATAACAACTACAAGAACCGTTTCAGCTAGCCTGTTCACAGACTCTCTATTTTCTCTTCAAGTAATAAAATATAACCCGCAAGTGATTTATTGACCTCCAGCGCAAGGGGGTAGTCTTTATTTTTCTTTCTCGCGCTCCGCGCTCGCTTCGCTTGTGAGCTCGCCGATGTTTTTGAAAAGAACGAAAAGAAAAATAAAACAACGTCTGTTTACAGGCTACGTTTCAGCACGAGGGGTATGTTTGGGAAGAAACAAAACACATCATTCAACTCAGACGACGAACCTTAAGACAAACGTACAACCGCTAGCTAGAGTTGATTCCTAAGAAAGAAAATGCGTCGTCGCTTGTTTGCGTCTTCCATAAAAAGAGAAATTAGGCACTTTCACGTTGTAGTCTACCCTGAGTGCCAGACACTTTTCTAGCGCGGTTTCCGGTTTCTGTCAAGTCTTTACAGTGACCCGCGCGAAAAGCCTTCGGCCAACACCGAAAATTCCCGCCGCACGCGAGAGAGACCTCTGGTAACCAGGGTGGTCGTAGTCGTGCTGTGACGACGAAAACAAAAGTACAAACAAAAATTAATGCACGTGCAAAGTTGTAAAATAAATGAATCTTTTGCACTTTTACCGTTCTTGTTGCCGTCACTAGGTCGTTGCTAAAACTCCCTAATCAAAATTATCAAAGAGAATGAAGTTAACTATTAATTTCGTATCAAGAGTTTATAATCTGGTTCTAATTTTTAGAGAACGTTCTTTTTATGCCAATATTATATCTTATAACTAATACACAAAATACTTAGTATGATGACACATGCAAGGAGAAAAAACAGGTCTGTGTTAAGGCTATGTCCCTGGCACTATACCGTATAGCAACCTTCACACACATCCAACATGGTGCCGGCCGGCCGGCCCGGGGGCGGTTGGCCGAGAGGGTATGGTGAACTAAATGCCACTGCTGAATATTTATTTCCGTCTCAGTAGATCGTATTTATTCACTTCCGCTTCGGTCCGAGCGGTACCTGTTCATACAATTCACACTGCCCCAACTGAACTAAGAGTGTGGACAGAACCTTCGGTCAGTTATAGAAACCGCACAGCAATCACATTTCTTATGTATGGTTTTCGTGCCGGCGCAAGAGCTCTATGTATCCGGTATAGTGTGAAAATAGCTAAGGTAAATGATGATGGAACATAGTAGCTGGACATTTCTTTTGCATGCATATTCATATGAGAACTCTACAGGAGAAAGTTTGTCCCTCTTGTGGCGAACTCCCTTAGAAGTGAAAGGGTTAACTCTTATTATTGATTTCCAGAAGCAAAGCCTAAAGATATGTCACTGATGGAATGCCACTGTAAATCGTCATCAGCTTTATCCTCTCTTGAAATCGTACAGTAGTCAACTGAATTTTAACGAACAAGTCAAGAACAGCATATTATGAGCAGCTGGCTGCATGCAATGACAGCACGATATCTTTCCTTTCCAGTTTATTTAGCTCCTTGAGGTGGAGCAAGAAGACCGCCAACCTTGCTTGCTGCCCTGGAAGGTGCAAAACCTAACATCTTCTGAATATTCTGTGGAATAAAAACATAAGACAAACATTTTGTTACCTGTCTCTTTTTGAACACACATTTAACTTCTGATAACTAAATATTTATTTCAGGATGAAAACTAGCAATGGTAAAACGTGAGATTTTGCTAAATGCACATATTGCATGTAAGTTTTGACGACGACATGTTAGCAGCGGGTCAGTGATTTACACTAATCTGTGTCACACAAGGAATGGCTACTATGAGTTAGCCTTAGCTTTAAAAGTTGACAGGTTTAGGAAGTTAAACACAGATCTAGAAAAAAAGACAGTGACGTGGAGAAGTTTATTTTCTACAAGTAAGACCATCACGTTGGTTGACCATTAAGGGAAAGAATTTGTAGGACTTTAGTAACTGTCCACTTGATACAGGTTTACTTAATAACTGGTTTACAGCGTAATATATCGGAGCAGACATGTTAGTGGAAAGTGGACTGTTGTAGGTCGTGTTGACCGGCCAAAGAAATTGAGCTCGGTCAAGGCTCTGCTCTGACCAGTCAAACTGTTTAATATACAATGTGTAACATGATAATGATTAAACTTGAACGCATTAGCTTACCAAGCAGAAAAATAAAGTGAAAAAAGATGCTTGTCCTATTGAAACGTAATAGTGTGAATTTTATTTCAGGCCGGTTACAAGTATTTCCGTGTTTGGTCAAAACGACCAGGAAACCGAAAGTTTGTCCAGTAAAAAATGGTCATCTTGGCCAGACATTGTCCGTTGACTGGCCGTTATTTTCAGCCCTACCAGCAAGGCAAATGAAACCGCCTCCTATTAGTAACTGCACCATGGTAGTGGCCAACTCGAAAGCTGTACCCCTTTGGCCACTACACACTTTTCCAATGTAATATTTATTGTATACCAGCTCTGATTTCCTTCTCTTTAGTTCCTACATGTATTATTATTGTATGGATGTACTTTTTTTGAAAAGTGTGAATAAACTGAACTTGAACTTGAAAGTAGCCGGGGGTCATGCTCATACATGTAGTAGCCGGGGAAAATCTTTGGCCCCCCTGGGCCCTTAGTGACAGCCCTGTATTGTTATTTGATCATACACAATAGATACATGTCACTGAAGTGATGTTTTAGATAAAAACACATCACATACCTGTCTAACAGACATGGTACAGAGAATGTAGAGGAAAATAAAGGAGCAGTCAGTGAAATCTGTACCCATCAAATTCCGGTGAGATAATCCCTGAATCCATGAGTGAGGAACAAACGGTAGCTTTGCCACTACTCTGCCATCAAAACTGTATAGAGAAACATTAGCAGAAAGAATTTCCATTTTATATACCGGTATGTTAAAAAAAATGGTGCAATAAAAAAATATAGTACTAATTCAGATAATAATAATATTGCACCATAAGAGGTACAAATGGCATTGACCCTTTAATCCCGAATATCAAAATTGAAATTGTCATTTACTGCCCCTATACATGTACATGTACATTGCCTTTGGAACCACCGTATCAGGGAGAAGTTATCAAAATATCAATCAAATTCATCTTGTGTGATCTCGTTATTAATTCTTTGATCACTCTCAGGGCTTAAAAGGCTAACGAACTATAGAAAACTAAAACTCATTAATAATTATGAAGTGTCTTCATATGTGATAAAGACACAGCAAAACTTTACTTCCAATTTTTTAGACCAAAATAACCCCAAATCTAAATATTAGTCCAAAAATGAGTTGATCTAAATCACGGTTTTTGAAGCCGTTAAAAAAAACATGTACTGTAGTCTTACAAATTAATGTATGTTATTATCAGGTTCAGCGTGCAAAGAAAGTCATGTCTGATAGCCCGGGGCTAGTGGATTTTGCTATCGGGCTAGTGATTTTTGTTCTTAATTTGCCCGATGGGAAAGTGCTGTTTTTTGGCGAAATTCAAATTACAGAAGGATGGTAATCAATCCTGCTAATCAAGAAGTGTTTTGGGGCTGGTTGAAATGACTTGTGGGCTAGTACTTGCTACAGCTTGCCTGAATTGCAGGCTGTGAAACTGACTTTCTTTGCACCCTGCAGGTTTGACATAAAGAAGGGTAAACTACACTACAGTGTAGGCACTTACATGGAGTTAAACATGCCAATAAGGGCAGTAAAAGTAAAGCCAATAGCAAATATGGACTTCATTTTAACCTAAGCAGGAAATAATGTTCAGGCATTAGTATTATTTCAAGTTACGTGTATGACAGTACACATAAATACACTGCCAAATGAAAATAACAACAACAACAACAATAATAATAATAATAATAACAACAACAACAACATAACATTGGCATTTTTTGATTCATTTTTTTTTTACTTTTTTAAAATTTTTATTGTAACAAAGCAATAGTTACATTCCCAACTAATGCTACCTTGAAATAGTACAGTTTGATTCAAAAGCATTTTCATGCACAACTGGAATATTAAAGTCAATCATTGATTTTTATGTGTGGCAGATTCTACTGACACACTACAGAGTAAAAGATTGTTGCTGGAGGATCTTATGCTCATTATTATTTTACCATTGAGAGATCTCTGTTGTGGTTTTTCAGCTTTTCTTCAACTCTTTCTAACAAACAGAAAATAAGAAAAACAAAACACGTAAATCAGACATTTGCTTGGCAGTGATTCTGTTACCTCTGCATCCTGCATCCTACTTTCCTGATGCATAAAAATCCCCAGAGAAGCATATAATTTATGGCTGAACTGAAATTGTTTTTGGTGAATATCCTGTTCATGTGATTTCTGTGGTTGTTCTTCTGGCTGTTGTTTAACAACACATATTTCTTTTAGTCTTGTTGTGTTGACAATAGAAGGAGTATACAGAGTTTTGGAGTCTGTCTTCAGATAACTCCGTGGTTACATAAAGACCCAGACACTCATAATTTTGAACTGGGACTCAGTGGTTCCGGACTGGTACTCATGATTTTTCTCAAGATGAGTCTGAGGACTCACCATAACTACCGTATTTATTTGGCCATAAGCTGATCTTGGCTATTATACGCTGAGACCCTAAACTTTAAATGTGTAGAATCAGCATAACCAGGAGTGAAAAATAAATCGCAAACATGCCGCTATAAGCCGAGACCCATTTGTTACAAGACTTTTTACTACAGTAAAACATTAAAGTGTGACCTTCTCCAGGCAAACATACACTAACACTTTTCCGTTAAACGGGCAAAAAATAACGGCTGATGACCTGCTTGTTAACAGCTTTTCAAAACATTTTAACAGTTTGATTAACGCTTTTAACGGCATTGATTCAACATTTTGCTGCTATTTGCTCAGCTTATAAGTGAATACATATCCATTTAGTGGAGGTTTAATGCACTGAAAAATATTTTTTTAAAAAACTCTTGGCTACAAGCCAAGACTCCCTCTTGGGCTCAAATTTCACTGAACATTACATGTAGCTCTAATTTGGGTAAAAATCACTTGGCTTATAGCTAAATAAATACAGTATTAAAATTTTGTACCAAAATCACTGGTTTGGACACACAACTGACTCAAGACCAACATGATATGCACACAGCAAAATCTTATGTGGGTCACAAGCAGTGTGCAAAGAAAGTAGTGTCCGATAGCCTGGGGCTAGTGGATTTTCCTATCGGGCTAGTGAATTCTGTTTTTAAATTACCCAACGGGCAAGTGACATTTTTTGGGAATTCAAATAACAGAAGAACTGTTAATCAATTCTGCTAGTCAAAACGTTTTTGGGGCTAGTTGAAATGACGTCTGGGCTAGTAAATGCTAGCTTCAGCTTGCCCGAATGACAAGCTGTAAAAGAGATTTTCTTTGCACCCTGGTCACAGGTTTCTGTACATGACTGCATTGTAGGACAATTTCCAACCCTCTCCGGTCCACCCTCCACTCTCCCCCTTCCCAAACCCCAAGGGGGTACAGGTGAGTACAGTGTACACACAACTCAGTATAAACATCACTTATAAAAAAGTCTAGCGGCAACCACTCCACTGTTCCCCCATGATACATGGTACATGTGTGACAGCTTCAGAAAAGGTTTATCACATAATATATTTAAAATACTTGTATTGCAATAAATAGCGCTTACCCATTTTCTTTTTCTGTCCACCTTGTCTTGGAAGATCTGATATAGTTTCTTTTCTTTTCTCCACTAAGAAAAGTAATAACAATTAACTTATTTTCACAGCCAAAAAGAACAATGTTCACTAACACTGATCAAGTAAACAACACTGTAATTAAAGTCGAGGATTCTACACATAAAATTGACTCTTGATAACTTGAGCCTTCCAAGGAATTCAAAAACAGTTCAAGTCAACGGGAATTTGAAGCAAAAAAACACAAGTTAGGAAATGGCATAGGGGAGGAATGCAAGTATCAAGTACAATTCACTTCAAGGCCAGCAAGATATATGTTTTAGTTAATTTTTTATCTTAGGTAATTTTAGTTTTTCTTTTGTTTTGGGTATGGAAATGATGCTAATGAAGTTGAAACAAAAGAAAAATTAAAATAACCAGAGGAAAAAATTGACCACAACATATATATTGATATTGAAAAAAATAAAAGCAAAAAACCTTGATCAATCAGTAAAGCAGTAAACATTGTATTTGAATTGGACCAGGGCTTCAAGTGGCTTCAAGCAAAAATATAGGGCTTAATACAGAGGCAATTTTTAAAAATTTAGGGTCAATTTGGGGAAAATGGTAAAATAATAGGGAAAATATAAGCATTTTTAAAAGCATAATCCAATTGCCAGTTTTGCAACTCTGCAGAAGGTAAGGAACATAATAAATTTTAGTTCAACATTGTGGACACTTATACAGATTAAGGTCACTAACTTTGAGCAGGCAAAAAAATGTACCTAGGTTAACACACACACACCGACCCTGAAAAAGTACAGTGAAAATACTGTTATCGTGTTTTGCAATGGTTAGAATTTTTTCAATGTGCAACAGTGAAATTAGTGGGCCTACACAACTTTAACCTTCTGTTTACTTCCTGGTGGGTAGCTGATGCTGTGGAGTTTCTCTCACATTAAGAGAACATGAAACTGGTCTGTATTAAAGATATTGATTTCTGGTGAGATGCTTGCAGGTTGAAGAATTCTCATGAAGAGTGATCTACAGGTCCGCATTTAAAAGAAGGAATTATAGCTTAAACTCGAAGTTATGCCAACTAACCAACTATGAAGAAACTTAATGACTCATATCCTCCACTTTTTTGTAGATAATGCGAGTCTTTCGAGTGGAGCACAATTTTATGTAGCTCCTAAATTGGCAATACTTTTGAATTTTATAGCTTTACAGCTTCCAACTGTTCAGTTAATAGTAAATGCCACTTTCTGATCAAGCAAGACCATGGTTTCGGTTGTCTATGTAAACCTTATCAGTTGCAGGGTTGGCTTTGTTTTCAGTTGCAATTATCGAAGCAAAATAATAGTCTTGTGGTGAGAATGGTGCAGTTGTTCTATCAGACTGAGCTTTAATGACCTTGTAGATTATTAGAGATAGCCCATCACAGATTGGAAATTCTTATTTTCCTACTGGTTACTTTTAAAAAAAGCAACCAATTGTCAAGTGTGAATTTCAATTCTCTTCTGTTTGAAAAATGAGTGCACACAAAGTTGGTGCATACTCCTTCTAAAATCTGGACAATATCTGGATAAAGATCACTACTGACAGCAGCATCAAATAAAGTACATTTACATGCACTAATAAAATAACTATTACCAGTTTTGGTCTTGGATGGGCTGAAAAATTCACTGTCTTTGTCATATTCCACCACCAGAAGTTCATGAATTTCTGTATGTTTTTATTTTCTGATGGAATTATAGGGATTATAGGACATTTACAAACTAAATAGGGAAATAATAGGGAAAGTTTTAAAATAAAGGAAATATAGGAAATAGAGGGACACTTGAAGCCCTTTTGGACCGAAAAAAAGTAAAGAAGCTTAAGAGAGAATACACAGTTGTTTTAAGAGAAAAACTGCTACAAATGTATGAAGGAAATGCAAGGGAAAATGAATTTTTAGTGCAAGGTTCGAGTTATCGGGAGTTGACCGTACATGTACAGTGTATATGTATTCCACCTGCACTCTGCCATTTATCTCCCTTTGGAATGGAATTCCTACATGTACATATTTAGGGAACGCGTCCAAATATCGGCATCGGGTCACGCCGATGCCGATCAATTGGGCACCGATTTTTTCCGATTCTGTTGAAGGTCGGATCCGATTTTATCGGTACCGAATGAAACGGAGTCGGCAACGGGTCTCAAGTCTTTATCGGGCCAATTAACAAAGGTCATCAAAAATATCTAGCAGCTCAAATAACCGTCACAAAAGCAAAAGCAAAAGCGTGAATGTTGTTTTTTATAACCTTATCTTTCTTATAAATGCGTCTTGTTTGAACCGAAATTTAACGTCACAGTTTCGAACATTTGTTTGTATTTCCTATGACAGAGTACGACCAGAAAATATTAAATTTGTGTATCAAAATGGGCACGAGAAGAAACACCAGGCATCTTTTGAGTGAAAGACGGCGCAATGTACATTGCAAGTGTACGATGTGATAATTTTAAAAAATGATAATTTTAAAATAGCTTGAGCCTGTGCTAACTGGAACCCAAAACGCATGATTATAGGAATCTTGGGAGGAATAAACAGTTTAGGATTGTAAACGAAAAAAATAGAAGTCAGAACATCCACGACCAAAATGCAAATGTTGTTACCATGTTGTGTACTTTAACTGCTAAATTGACACAGGGGAGAAGAGGACATCGTCTGAGAATCAGGCTGCAAGTTGTTTATTGGTTGCATATGAACTCAAAAAAGTGACTGATGGAGGCGTTCAACTGGTTTTCTCTTTCTCGATTGTCTTTCCGCTATTAAATTGAGTCGAACTTACCGGATGTATGCCAGTTTGCTTTAGTTGAACACTCCGGTAAAATAGGTTCTGATTTTTGTCAAACAGTCAGCCACCTAGAGTCAAGCGCAAATTTTTCTAAGTGCTGAGAGTGGAAAGCAATTTTATGTGGCACCATGCTCAAGCTCACAGAACATACAGCAAAGTCGCTAAGCCATTCTCTCTTTGGTAGCTCCTGTATGAAACTTCGTTCTGTGTCTTCCGTGAGTGACTCGCGAGTGTGGGAATCTTTCAGTTCTTGTTGCTAATTCCCTGGAGACAATCTGAGGCCGCAATCTAATTGGTCGGTATTTTTTGCCTCAGATCGCATTACACCTTGCGTTTAGGATCGTTGAATGAAAGACGCAAATTGTCGTAAAAGTTTATCCCGTGGTTTTATATTATCCATGGTTTTGCTCTCGCTCCGCTCGCTAGGAAATCCGTTGAGGTCTACTAGTAACAAGTCTATGAATCCAGCTGTGTTTCGAGAAAGTGAGTTCCGGTTGTGTTTTTGGATTGCATTGTTAGAAAGTATCGAGTGAAGAACACACTACTCAGTAAGCTGTTTTGTTTGCTATGTATCAACGAAGAACAGTGGTGTTTTGCGTCGTAATATTTAACCCCTTCTAATTTTCATAGAATAAATGTTATGGAGCAGCGTGGTGTTTGCGATCGACTGAAGGAAATACCTCTGCAAAACGCCGAAAATCACGTGTATAGGCACGCATCAAATCAACAAACTCGAAACACAACATGCAGGAACATACAATATTGCTATTTGTTATGGAGTAGGAAAAAGGTACAGTCGATTGAAATTACTTTGGAGTGAAACGACTCTTTCATTATTTGGTTTCGTGACACGCTTCATTTTACATATCAGATAAAATAATATGACGATGACACATATGAACATCGGAATGTCAACCGGCTCCGATTGAATCGGCAGAGTTTTTATCGTAATCGGAAACGGCAACTGGTACCTACAGATCGGTACCGATTCCGATCAATCGGAAAATTAATCGGGTCCGTTTCCCATGATCGGGTTCCCTACCGATATTTGGACGCGTTCCCTTATGGGAAATACTATACAAGCACTTCTATAGAGTCCTAAAGAGTGACATCATAAGAAATCAATTTGTGAAATTATGCGATTTTTGGGGGTATTGTGAAAGAACAACATCCAAAAGGCCCACTTTCCAAAAATTAGCATTCCAGTGCAAATTGCCTTTGAGATATTAGCCCAGTTATGCTCTGATAACTCCATACAAATCTTTCTAAGTTTGACTCAGTTCATAACACTTATAGGAACCAGGTCAAATTTAGAAGGTTTGGCATGGAGTCATCAGGGCAAAATGGGACTCATACATGTATCTCCCAAGACAATTTGCCATGGAATGCAAATTCTTGGCAAGTACACGTGTAGGCCTTTTGGATGATGTTCTTTGAAAATATCCCAACAGATCCCATAATTTCAAAAATCTAATTTTTATGACGTCATCACTTTAGAACTCTATTACCGGTAGTCTGAGTACCAGAGATTTTTATCGCTCAAGCCGCCTTCAGCAAAAAACATGTTGGCCTACAGCCAACCCCAAAATGTCTTTGATACCCACAGTCACAGAAGTACTAAATACATGCGCAAACAATATGACGTAAACTACTGTTCTTACAACAAACAAAGAAGTCTTGGTTTTGCACATAACTCTAAGGCTGGGTAACTTGAAGGTTTGGAGCTTTTTTAATGCTGCTTGCATATTTTTTAAGCCTTTCTAAACCTTACCAACCAGAATTCAACTGAACCCCTATATGAATTTACAAGTAAACAAGGAAAAAATAACACAAAGTGTGACTTACATCTCTTACTGTCCTTCTCCACCTCTGCAGTTAACTTTTTGTACTTATCTGTTCTGTACACTAGCAAATAGGTAATTCCTTGGGAAAAGAATAGTAATAACAATGAAAATGGAAAGTCAGGGTTACATGTACAACGTTAAGACAAAATCAATAACTTTTTTAAACAGAGTACCATTATCTATTTCTTACATGAAGGTAAAATATATTGTACATGTATGTTCACGCCAGGGGCGGAGTGTGGTTACGATTGTGCACTATTAGTTTAAACAAGGTTTATCAAGGCTTACAACTCCAGTTGTAAGCCATACAGGGATTGCCAGCACAAGATTTGTCACATCGGGTCACATGTCCCTGCCTCCCCGTCCTTATCTGTTTTTACTTAGCCTGCATGACAGGCTTGCTGCACTGAGTTCAACAGAGTTTCTTTTTTGTTATGATAAAGTTCTTAACATACAATGTAGGCCAGGATAAGCAAGAAAGCGTAGACAGAAGTAGGTGAATATTTTGCATTTATCACGACATTTATGGTTCTAATCAAACGATTGTAATTTCTTTTTTATAAAGCTTTAGATTGAGGTAAGATTGCACGTGATTTGCATCGTGTGGTATTGTGTTCTGCCAGATTCTGATTATTGTTTAACAGTAAAATTCTGTTACTTTCAGACTGTGTTTAAGTCGTCATTCCCGGAGCTGTCACTAAGATTTCAAGTTTCCCCATAAATACAACAAGTACTATAGGTGGGGAATCAAACAATTAGGATTTCTTTCAGCCTGCGTAGCTGACGGCATTGTGTAGTAGTCGAGTGAGATTTAGCAGCGGAGCCGTTGTAATATAGTCGGGTGAGATTTGACAGTGGAGCCGTCACAAGCGGCAAAGCCGCAACAAATACTGCCTGCCAGAGAACCGTGATTTTTCGAATGCCGCCCACTTTTGTCACCTTAGCCGATCCCAATTAAATCAGCCAATCAGAGAGAAACCTGCAATTTGAAACTTCCTATTATTTTCGCACAAGACAGTTTAGAAATACGTTTTGACAGGCTAAACACGACTCCTAAGCTCGTGATAATGTGAAACGTGACCTTGTGAGTTTGCTTGAACAGAGGTTTTTTATTTTCTCGGCTCTCATGTGAAGGTTACTAGCACTACACAGTGCATGGATCATTCTAAACTTTGACTGAGTAAACCTTTTTTTGCCAAACTAGGCTTAACATTAAAAGGTCATGAAGCTGGTTTGTTACATGCATACTGAGTAACCATTTCCTGTGGTTTATTCTTCTGTAGGTGTTCCTGATAGAATTTGATCTCAGATGCAGTTGTTTCTTGTGGCTAAATAAAGCCAATTCCAGCGCTGTGAAGTTTAAAGATGCCATTTCGGCAACTTGGTCATCAGTTATGCTCTTTTTAGAGGGGAAGCAACAATCACGTACGTCTTTTCCAGTTTGCTATCTGCTCCCTTAATTGGGAAATATATGCGAAGGATCATCTAACGTGATTGACAAATGTATGGCCCTCGACCAATCCGTTTCTCCGAACACTGGTGTGCGGACTATTCAAAATACCGGGGTTTTCTGGCAGGCAGTATTTCAACCGCCTCGTCCCTACTCCCTTTTTTTGGAATACGGCGCCACCGCCAAAACTTTAATCTCGCACCCACACAATACCGCCAGCTACGCAGGCTAGATTTCTTTTGGTTCTATTTTTCTTCTATTTTCCTATGAAAGTAGCCGGGTGCTACATTGTTAGTAGAGGTTCTTGAAAGAGGTCAAAAGAAATTAGAAACTACAGGGATTCCATTGAATCAGCTCACTAACTGCCGCTACGTAATGTTTGAGCTTCAAAATACAAAGCTCTAAATGTTTCGATACTTTTTTATTCAAATCGGTACAATAGGCTCTTGCATTTTATATCTGCACCCCCCTCTCCCCAATTGAGGAACCATGGAATTAGGGGTAGAGTAAAATTCTTTGGGGGTGAAGCCTTAATTTTCAAGAAATTCTTCAGGGGATGACCTAATTCTTCGGGGTAAAACCATATTTTATGGAAGTCTTCAGAAGCAATAGCCCAATCGATGAAATCGATACAAATCGAACAGAAATCGACGATAATTGATAATCACAAGAATGAGTGTGATCGATTTTTAACGATTTTCGATATTTGTCGATTGATTAATATTGATTTTATCGATTACTATCGATTTTTATGGAGTATCAAAATTATCGATTTGTAATGCCCTGGAAAAACTTTCCATGCTAAAGCAAAAATTAGCTAGCAACCTTTTAATTTTGTGGATAAAAGCTTCACATACCTTCAGAAAGAAGAGCAGTAGCTACTGAAATAAATAAGATAAGGATAGTATCAGCAAACATTTTCAGGCCAAGTGAGCAATAGTTCTTTCTCAAGAGTTCAATTCTCTTCAAACGTCGAACCAAATTCAAGATGGCGGAGTCAAGCGAGGGATGATCTGAGCCTGCAAACAATTGGCCAGTAAAAAGCCTTGTGTCATGCGCAATAAGTTGTAATTTTCCCGGGAAAACTGACCACGAGGGATACTCGCGAAGTATTCGGAGAAATTCACAACTGTGTTCTGGGTCGAAAAATTCATTTATCATGCCTTGCATAGAAGACTGGCTCACAAACCCGTTAACTGTAGCGGAGGGAATATTCAAAGAGGCAGGCAAAGTCGACCATGAGCGCGTTCGCGAGTTCTTTTCAAGTCGATTGCAAAGCAGTGAAGCTCTCCGACGAGTTCCTTCGCTTAATGACACTCCAAGTCACTTGCTAAAATCTAAGAGTTTGGTCAGATTCCGCTGCATGGTTCAGGATATGTTCGATCCCGAATTCTTCCTTGCTGCTTATGAAACCGTGGACAAATCAAATAATTCGTCAAGTATGCGGTGCGGAATGTATCAAGACATGGTCAGCTGTCCAGAAAATTTCGAGCTACGATTGGAGTCACCGCAAAATGTCACCAAAGAGAGGCAGGTTTTTTACTGTGTTCCAATCCCAGGAGAAACTGAATGGGCCAAGAAAATGTTCGCGGCGGAAAACGTGCCTTTTGGCGTGCAGTCTCAACGGGTAATGCAGCAGAATAATGCAGGAATAAAGAGGGGACTAGAAGAGGAAATGGAGCAGGATACAACATATCAGAACGGTAAATATCTTTAAGATCTTGTATTTTATTTCTTTAAGTACTAATTTTCCTTTGCATAACGGTTTGGTATTTGATTGAGCGGTAATGTTGGGGAGGGGGAGCGGAAATAGCCCTGAAACAAACCCTAGTCATTAATTAATTAATTAATTTTAATTTATTTTCCTTTATTAATACTTGCTTTCCGTCCGTAAGATAATTACTAGGTGAAGGGACAGTACCCTGGGGCCTTAACTTTGTTTAATAAGTGGTAAGATTTCCATGTACAAGTGCAACCCTATACATATCATGCATGCAGCAGTCAGTGATTTTGCTACAAATAGTTTTATGGTGTGTCCTGGGACTCATCTTGTGAAAAATTATGTGTCCCAGTCCAGAGCCACTGAGTCGCAGTTCAAAAAACAATGAGTCCCAAAACTCTGTGTTACAGTTTAAAGAAGTAATAATATACTCCTTCTATTGTAAAGCACAACAAAGACTAAAAGACGTAAGTGTCGTTTAACAACAGCCACAATAACAGCCACAGAAATCACACAAACACACAAACAGGATATTCTACAATATTGATCAATCAATCGAACATCCTACGGGACGCATGCCACAATTATTTTGTGTCTTTGGGGATTTATATGCATCAGGGACACAGGGCGCAGAGGTAACAAAATTACTTAGCAATGTCATTCCATTTCACACAATGGCAAATAGAATGTATGAATAGAGTCAAAACATCTATGCCTGATGGTCATTGTATAGGGCTGTATGGAAATCTTACTGTGGATTTCTTCTGCCTCCTGACAAAACATCTCTACCTGCAAGGAGCATACACAAACTATTTATTAACCACATAACCTCCCCAATGTCTTGCTGTGAGCACACTTGTACTATATAGTGTGTCCATGTAGGAATTAAAGATAATGTACTGTTTTCCTTGATTGTACATTTCTTTTGTTAGGTTAATAACCACCTACCATGTAATTCAATTTAAGATACAGTTGCATTCAACCCCAATTAAAATATTGTAAGGGTTCATACAGAGTCTTGAATTCTTGAAAAAGTCCTGAAATTTGCCAAGCAGTTTTCTAGACCTGGAAAAAGTCTGGAAAATAGAGATAAAGACAGTCTTGAAAAAAAGGTAAAAAGTCTTGAGGTTTTTTAAAGTTACACATTCTATAAGTACTTTACAAATGAAATTTTTTTCATGCTGGTCAAATCTTGTTTAATTTCACCTATATGTTTGCAGCACATCATGGAAAAAGCTTTGTTCCTTCATTTTTTTAAGGTCTCTATTGTTCATCTGTTATTATTTTGATAGCCTTGAGTCTGGAAAAAATTATTGTTTCGGAAAAAGTCTGGAAAAAGTACAAACCCTGTATTGTGTTTGTTGTCTTTGACAACCATAGGGATTCAGCTTTTGCTACAATATGACTGTAACTATTTCAAACAGTACCAATTAGGTCTGTCTTAAAATCATTAATGTTTGTTTCTTTTTTTTGTTGTCTTTTGCTTTAGGCCAGCAAGTTGATGATGCTGTCAATAAAGATGAGGCTACTAAAAGGGCCAAAGCCATCGACACATCAGACAACAGTAACATTCCTTCCAGCTCTCTAGGCATGGATCTGAATTTCCCTCTTCCCAATGAGCAGGGTCCAGCCTGCTTAGTTCATTTATATGATCAAGAAAGCACATTCAAGGTTAATGAGATGATTGAGTTCATTGGCATTCTGTCTGTTGATCCTGGTCTTGCTGTGTTTGATCAACACATGGAGGGTGTGCAAGATACAGCATTTCTCACCCCTGATGATTTGACCACCCCTGAAGAACAAGCTGTCCACCATCCCCCACCATCGCTTGTTCCACGACTCCACTGCTTAACATTTCACCGTTTGACTCACTCTAATCCATGTCTCCCTGATGCCATCAGTGATGTGTCACACACCAATCTAGCTGAAATGAGAAAAGAGTTGTTGTCCTTGCTTACAAAGGTTGCGTATGGAGATTCGTTGGCGGCAGAGTATATTCTTCTCCATCTGGTTTCCTCTGTGTACAACTGGACAGAAATAATAACAGTTGGAAAATTTGCACTGAATGTCAGTGGGTGTCCTCCTTTGCAGTCATTTCCACAAGAGATGCACCAACTGGTGGAACAGTTGGTGCCCAAATGTCATTTTCTGTCCATGACTTTGAACAACATGAACAGTTTGAACTTTGTCCCAAAAAAGAACTACACAGCAAATCGGTTAACCAGTGGCATCCTCCAGATGTCAGAAAGGACAAACTTGATTGTTGATGAGACTGCTTTGGAAGCTGGGCAACTAAATGAAAATGGTGTGAAGAATGTTAAAGCCTTGGAAAATGTCATTTCATGGCAGAAACTGGAGTATGACTTCAGTTACAACAAGTTAGAGTTCAAAACCAACCTACTTGTAATGATTCTCTCAGAAGGCAAATCACTGCTGCCCTCTGATTGTCATCTGGTCCTAAGACCATGCAGTCCACCAGAGAATGCACAAAGAGTTCTAAACAGCATCTCAGCAGATACCATGCAACAAATGCGAGCCTTCCTAGGCATGGCACAGCTGGCTGAGTACTCATTGTCGCCTGAGATGCAGAGGGTTCTTCAGGATGATTTTGTTAAGAGCAGGCAGCAGAACCAGAATAACATGACAGCTGAGGACTTTCATCTTTTACTGCTGCTTTCACGTCTGATGTCACTGAGCTGTGGGCAGACTTCTTTGACACCTGAGTTGTGGAGCCGTGTGAAGCAGATGGAAGCAGAAAGAAGAGCAAGATTGGTGTCCATCAATTCTCACAACTAAACCATGCACTGTATTAAAGTAGTCATCAAGAAGGTTAAAACTTTTTGTTTCACCTCTGTTCACGCATTAATACATGTAATCAATAAAGTTATTATGGCACTTGGGAAAACGATCTGGGTTGTACGTGTGCATATTGTAGCATCAAATGACAAGCACTGATGTTGTTTAATATTTTTTATCACCATACTTTTTAGGCAAGATGTGCTAATGTGCAATGTACAGTGTATTATCCTATGTAAGGTAATCCGGATTATGGATTCTGGGAAATTTTTGCTGTTGGATTCCAGAATCCTGGGTATTGGAATCCCCTGCATGTGTGGAATCAGGATTTCTGTATCTGGAATCAGGAATCCACAACATGGAATCCAGGATCCAAGACTGTCTGAGATTACCTTACATGATGCAGAGTGTGTCATAAGCAATAAGGACAATGTAAATATTACATTACACTGTATGCTGGTCCAGTGTGAAATGGATGGGGTACAAACTGGGCCCCGCAAAAGATTCTGTTGTTGTAATAATTTATATTCATAATAGCTTAACCAGTGTTAGAGTAGAATGCCACAGACGTGTTATCCCTTATACAGCTGTCTAGTTTGCTTACATGTATGAGCCTAATTATAGCCTTCATAAAAGTGATGTTAAGAGCTCTCTTAAGTGATTAAAAACATCAACATGTTGTTATTGCCCCTATATTGCGTCACAGCTATTTTGTTTTAGGGCTTGGTTCCATTGTTAATTAGGGTGCTTCAATGGACCATCCAGCTCTGCCTTGGAAATGACTCCAGCAATCAGCGAATTTTTCGGACCTCACACAACGACGCTTCTGGGGGTAAAACGAAAGAAATGCTTTCCTCTTTCGTTAGAATAATGATGTCATTTTTTTCTTCTATTTTTGTTGGATACCCTGAAAGCCCCTGTATTAAGAAGAATTTTTAGATCTCTGACTTGAATCGCCTCGTGGCGGGACATTTTCGAATTTAATGTAAAAACACACGCGCACATTTGATTTTTTAGTTTGTATGACGTAGAGTTTTCCAAATTTCTATCATTCTGCTAACAGTAAAACACCCGTTCCTCTTAGTAACTGACGGTATCCGACCCCGAATTTTTGGCTGTGTGCAGCAAACATGAATGTGATCAAAACCCAGAGAAAACCCCAACTTGAACCATCTCCCCTGGCATAGGGAAGCCTTGGGGAAGATGTCTAGTGTGACCGCACCTATTGTTTGAGTAATTAAACTACAAGTATATTAACGAGAGCTTCGCTTTTAGCCCTGGCTAGATCTTTGTATTTAAGGAGATCTGTTGATCTCTTTTCACAAGCCTCCTCTTCTCTCAAGTCCCTTTCCTCGCCGCTTCGCGACTCTTTTTCGGAAAAAAAAAGTTTAGGAAAAACCCCGTGGGACCTTTTTTCGTGGGTAGTAATTATGCGAACTGCTCTGTAAACTAGCGACAAAGGCATTAGGCTGCACGAGACTGTTCCTGTAAACTCACACAATCAAACTAAGTCGAGTCTTGGTTTAGGGACTAATTCATTCAAGTCACACTGCATTTTGTTATCCCTAGCCTCAAATTTAGGGTCTTTGAACCCTATGTTTAATTAGCTAGTCAGGATTGTTTGAAACTGCTCTAAGGGAAAAAAATAAGATTGCCCAGCAGTATGGGACCACGAGTTCTGCAACAGTGTAAGTAGTGAGGGACGTGCTTTACCATGCATTGTTAAGTAGATAATTTACACCGAAAGTGTAAATATTTATCTCTTCACTCCAGAGTTCAAACTCATTTTCTGCCTTACGTTTTCTATCTGGTCCTTCCCTCTTTCTTGCTCAGTTTCTCCCTTCCTTCTCTAGAAGATTCGCTACTATTTTTTCTTTCTCTCGTTAGCTTTCTCTCTTCTTCTCTCTTCTCCGTTCAAATAAGATTTCCTCTTCTTTTTTATTTGATTATAAGGGTTTTTATTTATTAACATGCAAATAACTCTAAAGTTAGAAATCACATTTGTCAAGTTGGGGACAAAATGTCCGAAAAAAAGGTGCTGATTCAGCTGTTTTCGTAAAAATAAGCTGTCGACAAGTAAAAACATGAGCAGTCCAACTCCCATCATGATAGAAACTAGTTAATTAAAGGATGGTTTATCATATCAGTTTGCATATTTCCAGCAATTTTATTATTTCTAGAGCTTAAACTATACATCGGATATTGGTAAATTCGCCACTTAGCCCTGGTCTTGGACGTAAAAGAGATGGGGGCGGGGGGCTCTGAGGTTTTTCAGATTTTTTTCCTAGACAACTGAAAACGTCAGCACCTGACGTTTGCGGTAGCTGTTCGTTTATCTCCCGCTCTCACCATTTTGTGACAAGTTTAGTGATGGTCAGTTACTATGGTTACGAGATATGACGTCATAAGTAGCAGGTGGTCAAGCCATTTTTTAGTGAAAATGTATGTTTCCAACTTCTTTCAACAATAAAAGTCAAGATTTTGGATAAAATGATGCAAAGTACATATTTATTTGCTATTTCAAATGATTTTTAATTCTTGGTATAATCCAAGATAGCGGGCAAGATGGCGACGATGTTGGTGACGTCACAGGCCTCCAGCAGGGCCACCACCCATAAAATATAACTCATCTTGTTGCCGAGAAGAACAAAGCTTTCCTCTGAAGGCAAAATCGTTTCGGAATACTGCAACATATCAAAAACTCTAGAGGCCCCCTTGTACTACGGTGGGGGTATGAATTTGCGTGTACGTCCGAGATAGAGCTAAATAGTTATGTCTAAGTGACACTTATTCATAGTTTCATCAGTTAGGCTCTGTTAACAACAATTTTGGCAGGTGAAAAAATCGCTCGCACTACAACAGATTCTTTTGCAAAGTAAGCAAAATTTTTCGTAGTGCGAAGAGGGCCTTAATCTGTTGTTCAGGGAGTTTTATACCTATACTAACTCACGACAGTAAAGTACGATTAATTTGCGGTGCCGCCCCGCGTATGATTCCGAATACAACAAGTTAGTAATTTAGTGTACTCAATGCAATAATCCCCCACGAGCTAATAAAAGCTCGCTTACTCCCTTACTATCTTATAATCAACCAATGGAACTTTATCAATCTAATCCAACAGAATCGAACTTAACATTCGATGGATTTCCAAACATAATATATAATCCATATCATGTTAGTTCACCGCGCCCACAAAATCAGGTTAATGAATAAATTATTATAAAAGGAAATAGTAGTTTTCAATTTTATTCATTGCATTTTTTGTACTCATCCAAGTTTACCAGTTAAACTAAGAAAAAAGCGAAAGGCTTAATTTGTCATCGCAGTTTTGTGACAGACTAGTTCTGTAACTTCATACCTAAAGACTGTTTTAAACATTTTTCTCTTAATTCTTTATTGCTTCGATGAAAAACTAAGTCGTATCAAACCCACCGTTTGCAATTAATCCCAAAATGGAAATAATAATATTTGTGGTTAGTTTAATCCAAATCCTATGCAACCGCCTTAAATGTTTAGTTCACTAACTTGTGAACCTGTGTTTTGCTTTCACCGCTCGTTCAAATATGAATCAGCTCTTCATATTGGCTCTGATGGTCTGTACGGCTGTATTCGCTGTAAGCCGTATTAACCACGTTGACTTCCAAGCCATTAACTTTTCTGAAGCTATATATGGAAAAAAACTTGCTGCAGGTATAATTCAAAATATTTCAGTTGATTCTGAATCCGTTTGTCAATTAGCGTGTGTGCAAGATTTCCGTTGTTTGTCTTATAACTTTGCCACAACAAGCGACATACAAGGAAAATTTAGCTGCCAGTTGAGCGACTCTGATCGATTTAGTGGACATCAAAACTTTACAGAGGACGAAGATATGCTGTACAGGGGAATGAAGGTTAGTTGTCTAAGTCAAATGTGTCGGACACTAAATACGCGCTATTAGGGACCTGAAGATTCGACGACGGCGACGGCAACGGGAACGCCACAAAAGCAATAGGTTTAATTAGCAAAAAAACAATTTTGCAAGTGCATCACGCTTTTTTGTACATTTCTTTGCCGTCACTGCACGACTACGACGTGAAAATGCCTAATTTCACGATGTACAGAGAAAGTACACAAGCGACGACGAAATTTCCTCTCTCTTTCTGAACTTGGATATGGTTCTCAGGAATTCAACTTTAGGAGGGTTCGCCTACATTTGACAAAGTTAGTGACTTGGAGTAATCGCAATGAAGATTGAAAGAACGCGAATTCACTTTTTCAGCGACGTTTTCTCTGCCGTCGCCGTCCTCGGATCTTAAGGTCCCCATTAAAGCGTTAATTCAGATAGCAAACTAACGGTTTCTGGGACTCACTTGCAAGCAATAAAAGGCAAATCTTTCAAGCTTTACTGTACTTTGGTTAATTTATCATTAACACTTACAGCAACTTAGGATAGGCTAGAATAGCATACACGGTTTTTTTTTTTAAACTCAAAACAGATTGCAGTTTAACCAAGTTCGTTCTTAGAACACGCAGAGCTTCTCCTTTTTACAAAGCCCTTCCTAAAGCTGAGGGTGTGCGTGTTGTGTGTGTGGTGTGCGTGTTATGTGTGCGTGTTCTCTCTGCTTGAAGTGTATTAATACTGCCATTTTATCCTCATAGTTCTATCAAAAGGTCGACTCCAATAATATATAACTACTTAAAGTGAAAGGACTTTTTTTAGTTTCACAGAGAAAACGTTTTAGAGACCCCTCCTTACAATAGCTTGGTAACAGCACCAGGATGGGTTTTGGGGCATTAATTTACCAAGCCCATCAAAGGCTGACATGGTTAACCACACCAACGAAGTTTCAGTGATGGTTCCGTTGAAAGAGAAGAGAAGTGATGACGCCACAAAAACTAAATTTGTGAAATTATGGGATTGGTTGCCATATCCAGAAAGAACAAGACGAAAAATGTGCTTCTGCTAAAAATTACCCTGCTGATGCAATGTTGGAGAGCATATGAGCAATGTCATGCTCCTATTACTCCAAATAAATCTCCCCAACTAGGCCTGGATCGTTAACGTTACGATCCAAGACAATTTTTTTAGAAGAATTTGCATGGATTAATCAGACCAAAGCCGTGCTTATATCTCCTCATAAATTTGCACTAAAATACTAGTTATTGACAAGGAGGCTTTTTTCATCTTGTTCTCTCTGAATATGCAAGTCCAGGGGCGTAGCCAGCCGTTTTTTCCTGTTAATAGAGAGTTTACGCAACAGGACGGCAGAACGAAGAGGACGGCAAAACGCTTGTGTGTGACAAACGTAACCGGGCTATTACTTACGTGTTTTGTGGTGATCTTCACTTAACTCAAAGTTTTCTGGTCTTTTACAAAAGGACCTGTTTAAAGGAGGGACATTTCAGTTATACTTTCTTTTTAAAAAAAGTTGTGTTTCAAAACTGACAAGCTAAGTTGTCTTCCGTATCTTTGAAAACAGAGTATATGTGAGTCTGAAAGCTCTCTTTGTGGTGAAAGAGGAATCTGCATCCCTGACTACGAAGAAGACAAGTTCACCTGCCTGTGTGCTCTGGGTTACACAGGGATACCTTGTAGTAAGCACATTAAATAACTAACCATCGTACAGCCTTGCAAAAAAAGAAGCATCCTTTGCTGTATGCCTGTGCATTGTGAGTTTGCCGTTACAATCCAAGGTATCAAAAAGCCAGAGATCCCCAATCATTTTTCACGTCTACTAGATAGAAGAATAGTCTCCCACCCACCCCCCCGCGCGAAAAAAAGGAAAAACTCTTCTTCTTGATGTTTTCGATTATAGGAATGGTCATAAGCATTATATTTGAAGCACTTAACGATCTTTTAAAACTTAATCGGATGTTCTTTAGACGGGTGCTATATAAAAAGCGTCTTAAAGGCCATAAAAACTAAATGTGTCTCTTTCATATACTCTTTTTTAGAACCAAAAAGTTGCTGGCAACTTCTTCAAGATGGGTTTGTTAGCAACGAAATATATATGGCCAATCCAGATGGCGGTAAAACAATATGGTGACGGACGGTGGGGGGTGGACTGTTTTTCAGCGACGTATGGATGGATCTGCTGACTTTTATCTTGATTGGGTGGCTTACAAAACTGGTTTTGGTAATCTTAACGGTGAGTTCTGGCTTGGAAACAACAATCTTCACCGTATGACCGCCGCAGAGGAGATGAAGCTGCGAGTTGCCTTGGAAGACTTTGAGGGTGACGTCAGATACGCTGAGTACACGACATTTAAGGTGGCTGACGAGGGAAATAAATACCGACTTCGTATTGGTGGATACAATGGCACGGCCGGGGACTCCCTGTTAAGCAAGCAGAGTGCAAAGTAAGAGACGTAATATCGAATTCTCCCAACCTCTCTCGTGTTTATATCAGGCTATGCAAACACGGAAAACGTTTTCTATTGCTTAAAATATATTTTAAAATAAACAGTTATTATTCTACTGTAATACAAGGGGAAAAATGGAGTGAACTTTAAAGAATAAAGGACAAGAGAATTAGTTTTTCGTTTACAAAATAATCGTGTCTACGTCAATATAGGAGTCTTCAGTTTGAATTATATCAAGTAGGGTTCCTATTGTTGATCTTTTGAAGCGCTTTTTTCTGTCCTTTTTACTTTCTTTTAAGAATTTGCAGTATTACGTTCCAAATTTTGACCCCAACACGCGAGGAAGCAATTCATTTGACATTGAACCGAGATTCTTTAGTATGAAAATGTTCAGGTACCTTTTTTTAATCTATAGCAATAAGATGTTTACTACAAAGGATCAAGATAACGACGGTGCAGAATCCAATTGTGCTGTCCGAAGTAAAGGCGCCTGGGGCCCGTTTCTCGAAAGTCCCGGTAACTTTACGGGCCCGAAATCAAATATTCAAATCAAAATATAAAGAATAAGATCGCGGGTCCTCGCTAACAAACTGCTCCATTTTGTTTCACTAACTGACAGTTTTATCACGTTAGATGCAAAACTATTGAAACCTCGATCTTTAAGGTAAACGGAGACAGCTTACCGGGCCCGTTAATTATCGGGACGTTCGAGAAACGGACCCCTGGTGGTACAGGAGTTGTCATGCAGCCAACCTCAACGGACTATACCTTAGTGGTCCAACCGATTCATCGAGCTACCCTACAGGAATCACATGGTATCATTTCAGGGGATATAGATATTCCCTGAAACGTACAGACATGAAAATAAGACCTAACACGTAAAAAGACATCCTTTGAGCATCTAGTATACTGACTAGTTACTGTGAGTCTCTGTTGGATTATATTTTTGTGACTGTGGTGAGATGCAATCCAGTATTGTTATATCCTGAAAACTTTTATTTAAACGCCAGACTCATCATAAGTTTCTTTTTTCCGTGCCCGAATTTTTACTGCAGCTGTGAACATGTACAAAAGCCAGGACGGCTTTTTCTGAATAAATTGATTTCATCTTGGTATGTTACATAGTGACGGTATCTTTGGAAAACGTTCATAGCTTGTTTATTGTCTTTCCCTTGAGTTCACATTTATGTCTAATGAATTTGAAAGTGCTAAAAAGTAAGATAAAATTTCCAGAAGGTCCGAGTGGCTCCCAGTATAAATCTACCCACCGCCTACTAGGACCTTATTCTCAGACGCTAGCAAAGTAGGTCTCCCCTTGGAGTGAGCCTCCATCTCTCGACTTAACGAATGAAATAACCATCCCCAGCGCTAATTTGAGTATAAATTAAGGGCTCTCTCCTCCGCAGAGGCTCCAGCTGGGTATCCCTAAAAAAAAAGCAATAATGGAAAAAAAAAAAAAAAAAGAAATAAGAAAGAAAGCGCGCGGGAGACGATGGGAAGAGGGAAAAGGAGCCTCTCTTCTCTCTTTTCCCTTCCCATTGTGCTCCGCGCTCTCCTTTTTTCTTTCTCCCCAGCCTCCCCACAACACAAAGAGGCCTTGGCTGCGGAAGAGAGAGAATTAAGGGTTAATCAAAAGCTATCGTTTTCAAAACAAGTAAGGTAAATGCTCTTTAAACCGGGGGAAAATAATATGTATACAGCTATTGCGAAAAAGATTGTCGGAAAAAGTACACGCGACAATCCCGAAAGGTACTGTGGTTTTGAGATCACTGTTCTTTAATTTATAGAAATTTTGAAAGAATGGCACGAGAGGCCATGGACTTATGTTTGCGAGTGCTAAAGCGAAGCAGAAAAAGTAGGTTCAGCAGCTACATTGTCAGAAACAGTGTATTGATCATATCTCATAATACCTTTCGGGATTGCCGCGTGCACTTTTTTTCCGACAACCTTTCTCGAAATAGCCATATAAAAAATCCAAACTCAACGCGCGATTGAAATGAGAATTTTTCATGAACCATAGACTAATTCGCATAAAAGAACCTTAACGTTAAGAAGATTTACCTAAACAGCATCAAATTTGACAATACAGTGGAAACAGCCCTACGGCCACCTCGGTAATACCGTCACCTCGTTAATACGGCCACTTTTTTTCAAAACAGGCAAAACGGTCATACATTTCCTTGTTAAAAAAAATAAACCCGTTAGTGCGGTCAGGGATAGTAGAGCGAGCAAACCTTGCGCGGGCGTGAAAATCACCCCACGCGAGAAAGGCGAGACGCGTCAAGAAGCTCCCCGCCATGTCTCGCGTCTTTCCTTTCTCACGTGGAGAAATTTTCACGCGCGCTCGCGTTTCGCTTGCTCTACTATCCCCGAGCGAAAATGGGGACTACTCGTAATCTACGTTAACACGGCCACTTGTTCGAAATTTAGAAAGTTAAAATGCCTGTGACCTAGTACTCTGAGCCTTTTCTTGCACTTTTAGACTACAGCTGCAGTACACATAAAGTGCACTTGTTTCGATTTTATAGCCGAATTTTAAAGGTGCTTTATATACTGAAGGAAATTTAAAAGCCCGAGGAAATAAACGCCAAATTTCACGAGAATTGTTAAAACGCAGTCAAAACTCTGAAAATTTCATAAGGTGCCATTTTTTAAAATTTGACATTTATTGCTAATCCATATTTGCAGGTAGATTTACACCTAATGTCGGCCTGGTTTGTCTCAACCAACCAACGAAACACTAAGCAAATGTCTAAACTACTACCCTCATGTACAATTAAAGATAACCATCTGTTTATAAATGAATCAACCAAGAAAGAAAAAACTATTGAAATTCTCACAGACAACGTGCAGTCTATAAACGCACTCTATAGTGCTGAGGAACAAAGAAATTTTTGTGATTCAAAGTTATAGATGCTAGGAAGTTTAATTAGGGTTTTCAATTTAATTCATTTCATTTAA